TCTTTTGGAGGTAAGACACGGAGGCACAGAGGTCAGGCTGCTAAGGGTGCCACCGGGGTCTACCCCACGCCCACAGACCCTCCTTCTGCCTTCCATAGCAGCTGTGTGTGAGGAGGACAGTTGTGGGTGATTGCAGGCCAAGTGTGACGCTGAGCAGGAGAGGAGGGGACAGGTACAAGGAGCTTGTGTCCTGTAGGCTGGGGGATTTCTTTTTCTAATGCAATGTGATCTCCCCCACCCCCTGCCAACCCCCCTTGGGCTGCTGGTGAAGCAGTCTGAGTAACCAGACTCCTCAGTTAGTGACAGGCTTTTCCCCAAGCCAGACCCTGGGGAGCTCCCAGAGGAGTCTGGATCTTAGGCCATAAGGTGAGTCCCTTGCTCAGAGCTCTGCAGGATGTGGTTGGTTCAGGATCTGAGTTCTAACTGCCAATCTCAGGCCCCTGGCGGTCATGGGAGGCTGCTGTGGGTCCAGCCTGGGGGCCTGGCCACCCATACAGTGTCAGATTAGAGCCAAAGGCCACAGAGCTGGGTGGAGGGTATTGCTGTCCTTGGGCGAGCCTATGACATTTTGCCCGTCAGGTAGAAATCCAAGCTAACTGGCCCCAGAGTTGCTGCCAGGTTGAAGTGTCCACTCCAAGGCATTTTGGGCAGAAGCTTGCAGATTTGCCCCTCAATTTAACTTGGGGGACAAGGGCTATGCTGACCTCCCCAACAGCGGCCTGGGGCAGGAGAGTGGGAGAAGTGGCAGGCCCCGTGGGGAGGGCTGCAGGAGAGGAGGGTCTAGAAGTGGGGCCAGAGAGCAGTTCACCCACCCCAGCGCCCCTTTAGTCAGGTCCTGCAGTGTCCAGCGTGGTGGGCACAAGGCCTACGTGGCTATCAGACGCTTGCAATGTGCCCGGTAAGATTGCCATGTGCCACAAATGCAAAACAAACACTTGATTTCAAAGACTTAGTACGAAAAAGAAAATAAAATATCTCTCAGATGATTTTTTATGTTGATTACATTTGGAATTATATTTGGGATTTAAGGAAAATAAAATGTATTACTGTATTTAATTTTACCTATTTCTTTTTACATTTTATTTTATTTATTTATTTATTTTTTTTTTTTTTGAGACAGAGTCTCACCTCGCTGTATCAGCCAGGCTGGTGTGATCTCAGCTCACTGCAACCTGCACTCCCTGGGTTCAAGCGATTCTCCTGCCTCAGCCCCCTGAGTAGCTGGGATTACAGGCGCCTGCCACCACGCCCGGCTAATTTTTGTATTTTTTAGTAGAGATGTTTTGCCATGTTGGCGAGGATGGTCTTGAACTCCTGGCCTCAAGCGATCCGCCCACCTTGGCCTCCCAAAGTGCTGGGATTACAGGCATGAGCCACCACGCCCAGCCTCCTTTTACATTTTAAAATTAAAAAGTAGCTCAAAGATAGTGATTTTAGGTGAAGGATTTGGGCTGTGGCCTCTGTGCCCAAAACTTCTGTCTTCAATTAGATCCTTTCATTTCTACAAAGCAGGCACCACAGCCTCACATCATTTGATTATTTGATCTTTCAACGCCACTTCTTGTCAGAAGACATCCTTATATAGTAGAATTTTATCTGGATTCCCTCCTCTGGTCTACAGCCTCCATCCCTGTCAGAGCAATTTGTAGTGTCTTTTCTATTTCTTTTCCAGATCATTTGCCCATTTTAAAATCAGATTTTTACTATTATTACTTTTTTGCTATTGAGTTGTGTGAATTCCTTATATATTCTTTTTTTTTTTTTTTTTTTCTTTTTAGACGGAGTCTCGCTCTGTCGCCCAGGCGACAGTGATCTCAGCTCACTGCAACCTCTGCCTCCCGGGTTCAAGCAATTCTCCTGCCTCAATCTCCTGAGTAGCTGGGATTACAGGCGCCGCCACCATGGCTAATTTTTGTATTTTTAATAGAAACGGGGTTTCACCATGTTGGTCAGGCTGGTCTCAAACTCCTGACCTCGTGATCCGCCCACCTCAGCCTCCCAAAGTGCTGGGATGACAGGCGTGAGCCACCGCGCCCGGCCACTTAATTTGATTTGTATGTTTTTGTCTGAGATGGGGTCTCACTCTGTGGTCCGATGCGATCATGGCTTACTGTAATCTTGAGCTCCCCGGCTCAAGCAGTCCTCCCACTTCAGCCTCTCAAGTAGCTGGGACTACAGGCAGGTGACACCATGCCCGGCTAATTTTTTGATTTTTTATTTTTAGAGGCAAGTCTCAGTGTGTTGCCTGTGGTGATAATAATTTACATATGTATGGGGCACATGTGATATTCTGATGTTTACACATGCCTGTGGCCAGGCTGGTCTCCAACTCCTGGCCTTAGGGAATTCTCCCATCTCAGCCTCCCCATAGTTAGGAGAAGTGCATGACGTGAGAATGCCCCCCCAGCTGATCGATGGATATGTAATAATTGTACACATATATGGGGTATATGTGGTATTTTGATATTTACACATGAATACAATGTGCCATGATCAGATCAGGGTGATTATGATACTCATCACCTCAAACATTTATCATTTATTTGTGTTGGAAGCATTTCAAATCTTCTAGCTCTTTTTAAATATGTGATAAATTATACAACTGTCATCACCCTAGTGTGCTATCAAACACTGGAATATATTTCTTCCATCTAACTTTATGTTTGTACCCATTAATCAACATATATTCATCTCCCACCCCATCCTTCCCAGCCTCTGGTAACCATCATTCTACTCTCTACCTGCATTAGACTAACCTTTTTTTTTTTTTTTTTGAAATGGAGTCTTGCTCTGACGCCCAGGCTGGAGAGCAGTGGTGTGATCTTGGCTCATTGCAACCTCTGCCTCCTGGGTTCAAGTGATTCTCCTGTCTCAGCCTCCGGAGTAGTTGGGATTACAAGCACGCGTCACCACGCCCGGCTAATTTTTTTTTTTTTTTTTTTTGGAGATGGAGTCTCACTCTGCCGCCCAGGCTGGAGTGCAGTGGCGCAATCTCGGCTCACTGCAAACTCTGCCTCCCAGGCTCACGCCATTCTCCTGCCTCAGCCTCCCGAGTAGCTGGGACTACAGGCGCTGCCACCACGCCCGGCTAGTTTTTTGTATTTTTTTTTAGTAGAGACGGGGTTTCACCGTGTTAGCCAGGATGGTCTCAATCTCCTGACCTCGTGATCCGCCCGTCACGGCCTCCCAAAGTGCTGGGATTACAGGCGTGAGCTACTGCACCCAGCCTAGGATTTCCTCCTTTTATGATGAATAGTACTCCACTGTGTAAGTGTACCTCATTTTCTTCATCCGTTCACATGCCGATGGACACTTATATTGATTCCTATCTTGGCTATTGTGAATAGTGCCACAGTAAACATGAGCATAAAGAGATCTCTTTGATATACTGATTTCCTTTCTTTTGGAAATATGCCCAGCAGTGGGATTGCTGGATCATATGGTAGGTCTATTTTTTAGCTTTTTGAGAAAACTCCGGTGTTTTCCATAGGGGCTGTATAGTTTACATTCCCACCAGCAGAGTACTTGCTTTCTTAACTGGATGAGATGATAGCTCATTGTGGTTTTGATTTGCATTTCTCTGATTAGTGATGTTGACACTTTTTTCATATGCCTGTTGGTTTTTTTTTGTTTGTTTGTTTTTTGAGACAGTCTCTGTCACCCAGGCTGGAATGCAGTGTGCAATTTCAGCTCAGTGCAACCTCTGCCACCCAGGTTCAAGCAATTCTGACCTCAGGTAATCCACCCACCTCAGCCTCCCAAAGTGCTAGGATTACAGGGGTGAGCCACTGTGCCCAGCCTGTTTTTGTTTTAGACAGCATCTAGCTTTGTCACCCAGGGTGGGGTGTGGTGGTGCAATCTTGGCTCACTGCAACTTCCGCCTCCAAGGTTCAAGCGATTCTCCTGTCTCAGCCTCCCTAGTAACTGGGGTTACAGGCGTGTGCCACCACACCCAACTAATTTTTGTATTTTTAGTAGAGACGGGGTTTCACCATGTTGGCCAGGCTGGTCTTGAACTCCTGACCTCAAATGATCCACCCGCCTCAGCCTCCCAAAGTGCTGGGATTACAGGCGTGAGCCACCGCACCTGGACAACATAGGGTTGTAGTTTCACTTTTCTGCATATCCTCAAAATGTATTTCCAGTTTTCCCAGCACCCTTCACTGCTCTTTCCCCAGTGAATGTTCTTGGCACCTTTGTTGAAAATAAGTTGACTAATATATGGACTTATTTCTAGGTTCTCTATTTTGTTCCATTGGTCTATGTGTCTGTTTTTATATCAGTAACATGCTGGGTTTTGTTTTTTGAGACAGGCTCTCGCTCTGTTCCCAAGGCTGGAGTGCAGTGGCACGACTTTGGCTCACTGCAAACTCTGCCCCCAGGTTCAAGACATCCTCCCAAGTAGCTGGGATTACAGGTGTGCACCACTACACCAGGCTGACTTTTGTATTTTTAGTAGAGATGGGGTTTTGCTATATTGGCCAGGCTGGTCTCAAACTCCTGGCCTCATGTGAGCTGCCCACCTTGGCCTCCCAAAGTTCTGGGATTACAGGTATGAGCCACTGTACCTGGCCCATGCTGTTTTGATTATTATGGCTTTGTACTATATTTTGAAGTAGTGTGATGCCTTCAGCTTTGTTCTTTTTGCTCAGGATTGATTTAGGCTGTTCAGCGTCTTCTGTCATTTTATATGAATTTCAGGATTTTTTTCCCTATTGCTGTGAAGAATGTCATTGGTATTTTGATGGGGATTGCATTTAATCAGTAAATTGCTTTTGATAATATTGTCATTTTCACCAAATTAATTATTCCAATCCATGAACATGAGATGACTTTCCATTTTGTGTGTGTGTGACCTATTCAATTTCCTTCATCAGTGTTTTATAATTTTCTTTGTAGAGCTCTTTAACCTCACTGATTTTTTTTTTTTTTTTTTGAGACAGAGTATTGCTCTGTCACCCGGGGTGGAATGCAACGGTGCCATCTCAGCTCACTGCAACCTCTGACTCCCAAGTTCAAGCAATTCTCCTGCCTCAGCCTCCCGAGTAGCTGAGATTACAGGTGCGTGTCACCAGGCCCGGCCAATTTGTTGTATTTTTTAGTAGAGATGGGGTTTCACTGTATTAGCCAGGATGGTCTCAATCTCCTGACCTCGTGATCCGCCACCTCAGCCTCCCAAAGTGCTGGGATTACAGGCGTGAGCCACCGCGCCCAGCCTCATGGTTAAATTTACTCCTAGGTTTGTTTTTCTGTTGCTATCGTAAATGGAATTGCTTTCCTCGTTTCTTTTTTGGTAGTTTGTGGTTGGTATGTAGAAATGTTACTGGTTTTTGTATGTTAATTTTGTATCCTGCAACTTTACTGAATTTGTTTGTTCTAAGAATGTTTTGATAAAGCTTTTAGGGTTTTCTATACATAAGGCAATTTGGCTTCCTCATTTGGAAGGACGTATTTGGATGCCCTTTATGTCTTTCTCTTACCAGGTTGCTCTGGCTAGAACTTCTGCAGTGCAGCTTTGAGAAAGCCTCTGAGGTGCTGGGTCTGGGGCATGGTAGAGAGATCCATGTAACAGGAAGAAAGAAAGTGGCAGCCCAGGTCCATGCCTGAGTCTCCTGGTGAGACACGGAATCCTTCCAGCAGACTGAAGTGACCAGAAATGCCCCGAAAGAGGGTGGCCCTGCCTCTGCTTCCAGTCTGCAGTCTGCACCTCGCTGAGCTTACTGTCAGTGTCTCTCCCACTTTGTCTCAGCCTTTGCTTCCAGTCTGCAGTCTGCACCTGGCTGAGCTTTACTGTCCCTGTCCCCCCACCTTGTCTCAGGCGCTGCACAATAGAGGTTCAGAAGCTGATTGGACCTGAGCTGGTACTGGGACCGGGAACAAAGAGACAGAAACTTGTGAACCTGACCCAGCAATAAGGGGTTGGGGAAGGTGAGCAGGGATTCCAGGTTCTGTGAACGGGGTCCACCAGAGTAAACGGATTGTGTCCAAGATGAGTTAGAATGTCTTGAGATGAACCTGGATGCTTTGGAAATAGCTAGGGAGAGCAACAGAAGTCACAAGTGAGTCTGGTTGTGACACAGGACTCTTTCGGGGCCACTTTGCCAGCTGGAGACCTCCATGCCGGCAGCGCCCCTGCCCAAGGCCTCACGGCTCCAGGCTGTTGGAGGTACCTGCCCACTCGACCTGGCAGGCTGCATCTGGCTTGTGCTTCAGGCTGGATCCCACACTCGCCATAGGATCTGCACTCGGCCTGCGGCTGGGCCAGGCGTGCCACCACCTGCTTCCACCTTGGGTGCCAACGTCTGGATGAGAGGAACGTGGTGGCTCCTGAAAAACCTGGAGACACCAGAAACCCTGGATCCCCAAAGGAGGTGTTAGTCTTCCTGTCCGTGCTGTGGGTGTGAAGGTGCGTGCTGCACATCCCGGTTTCCAGCACGGGACAGACTCAGAGAGGCACCTGCTGGGAGTCTCAGGCGATGGGACCCAGTGGCGGGCATGTGGGCAGCTGCCCCAGGTGAAAGGGATCTTGGCACAGCTCTTGGTTTCCCAGGCTGGCCCTGACCTTCGTGCTTTCCCGCCCACGGCCCAGACACCTGAGCTCCATGTTGGGGATGCTCAGGGACAACCCTTCAGCCTCCCCCACCGTGTCCCGGCTACTGCCCAGGGTTCTTGTTCTCTGGAGGGTGGATCCAGCCCTCCCCATCTTGGTGCCCTACCAGGGCCAGGCTTCCCATGGCTCTTTCTGCAGCCCCTGGCATGGACTGTGGGGTGCACAGCCCAGGGAGCAGTGGGCCTTGGAGGGGCCAGGTATGCATGTTCCCACCCCCACCATGGAGTTTGACACACCAGTGGGCAGGTAACTCAATCCCCCCTCACCTTCTCTTCATCTGTTAGGGGTGACAAGGTGCTCCCAGTGGGGCCAAGAGGATGCAGCACCCCCCCGGCTCCCCCTCTGGCCACACCCTTCTCTCATGGCCCACCTTCTGAGCTGGCAGGGCTTCCTTCCTGGCTTCTGCTGGGCAGTGTATTAGGGTCCTCTAGAAAGACAAAACCAGTAATAGAGTTTAGGAGAGGGGATTTTTATTTATTTTTTTGAGAGAGAGTCTTGCCCTGTCACCCAGGCTAGAGTGCAGTGGCTCGATCTCAGCTCACTGCAACTTCTACCTCCCAGGTTAAAGCGATTCTCCTGCCTCAGACTCCCAAGTAGCTAGGATTACAGCCACCACCACGCCCAGCTAATTTTTGTATTTTTAGTAGAGACAGGGTTTCACCATGTTGGCCAGGCTGGTCTCAAACTCCTGACCTCAGGTGATCCGCCTACCTCTGCCTCCCAAAATGCTGGGATTATAGGCAGGAGCCACAGTGCCCGGCCAGGAGAGCGGTTTTATTAGGGGAACTGGCCTACATACTTATGGAGGCTGAGAAGTCTTCCCATAGGCTGTCTGCAAGCTGGAGACCCAGAGAAGCCATTAGTGAGGCTCAGTCCAGGTAAGAAGGCGGTTGAACCAAGAAGCCAGCGGTGTAACTCTCATTCTGAGGCTGACTGGCCAGGAGCCCTGGGAGGCCTCTGTGGCAAGCCTGAGTCCAAAGGCCGAAGAATCTGGAGTCCTGATGTCCAAGGGCAGGAGATGGGTGTCTCCCTCCAGAAAAGAGAATATGCTTCTCTTCTCCCTTTGTGTTCCATCTGGGCCCCCAGCCAGTTGGATGTGCCTGCCCACACAGGGCAGATCTTCACCGAGTCCACTGAAAACATCCTCACACTCAGAAACAATGCTTAGCCAGCTGCCAGATGCAGTGTGTGTGTCTTAGTCCCAGCTCCTCAGGAGGCTGAGGTGGGAGAAAGGAGCCCGGGAGCTCGAGGCTGCGGCGAGCCACAACTGTGCCACCGCACTCCAGGCTGGCTGACAGAGATCTTGTCTCAAAAAGATAGATGATTGATAGATTGATAGATAGATAGAAGATAGAGCTCCACCAGTCATCTAGGCTTTTTTTTTTTTTTTAAACAAGGTGTCACTCTGCCACCCAGGATGGAGTGCCGTGGTGCTATCATAGCTCACTGCAGCCTTGACTTCCCAGGCTCAACCCATCCTCCCACCTCAGCCTCCTGAGTAGCTGGGACTACAGCCTATAGGCACAAGCCACAATACCTGGCTGATTTTTAAATTTTTTGTAGAGAAGTTTTACCATGTTGCCCAGGCTGGTCTCAAACTCCTGGGCTTAAGCAAACCTCCTGCCTCAGCCTCCCAAAGTGATGGGATTACAGGCAGGAGACGTGGCAGGCAGCTAAGGCACCTTCTATCCTGTGAGTCGGCTTTACAACACCTGAAATTCCCCGCCACACAGGGCCTGGTGCTAAGGACTGGCTGTGCCAGGCTGCATATGCGTCTATGGTGTCCCCTGTGCCCTGCTCTTCCGGGACTGAGCATAGCTGCCCCTCCCTCCCTCACTTCTGCCTCTCCTGGACATTTCCGGAAGGTCCCAGGAAATGGTGGCTAATGGCAGTTCCTGAGGCCACACCACGGGCTGCCCGGTGCCCTTTCCCTCCCCACTGCCCCACTAGAGCAAGAAGCTGAGCCCTTGGTGGAAGCTGGCCCTTTCTTCAGACTTTGCTGCACCTTCAAGACGTGGGGTTCTGAATTTCTGCACTGGGGCCCCGCCAGCTTGGGTGGGCCTCCCGCGTGAATCCTCGGCCTGTCGTCCCCATCATCGGGAAGCCCAGCGGGGCGCCCGCCTGCCCTCCGTGTCCTCCTGGCGCTCGCGGCCGTGCACCTTCTGGTGCTGGATGAGGGTGGACAGCCGGCTGCAGGCCCTCCCACAGGCGCGGCACCGGTATGGCCTCTCGCCGCTGTGCAGCCGGTAGTGCTCGTTCAGCGTGTAGCTCCTGCGGAAGGCCTTGCCACACTCCGTGCACGCGAAGGGCTTCTCCTTGGTGTGGATCTTCTGGTGCAGAGTGAGGTTGGACTTGCGACCGAAGGCCTTGCCACACTGCGCGCACTCGAACGGCTTCTCGCCCGTGTGTAGGCGCAGGTGCAGCAGCAGCAGCGAGTTGTGTCGGAACGGCCTCCCGCACACCGGGCACTCGTGGGGCGGGTCCCCCACCTGGGGCCTCTGCGCCGCTCTGAGCAAGGCGCCCTTCCCCGCGCCGCCGTCCTGGGGGCCCTCCTCGGCGTGCAGCCGGTGGTGCTTCAGGAGCGAGGACCCTCGGATGAAGCGCTGCCCACACCGCAGGCACCGGTAGGGCCGCTCCCCGCTGTGGATGCGGCCGTGCTCGTTGAGGGTGAACCTGCGGCAGAACGCCTTGCCGCACTCGGTGCACGCGAAGGGCTTCTCCCCGGTGTGGAACTTCTGGTGCTGCAGCAGCCGGGAGCTGCGGCTGAAGGCCTTGCCGCACTCGCCGCACACGTAGGGCCGCTCGCGGGTGTGGACGCGGTGGTGGGCAGCCAGCTGCGTGCTCTGCCGGAAGGCCTTGCCGCACTCGCCGCACTGGAACGGCTTCTCCTCGGTGTGGATCAGCTGGTGCCGCAGCAGGATGGAGCTCTGCTTGAAGGCCTTCCCGCACTCCGTGCACTGGAAGGGCTTGGCGCCGGTGTGGATGACCTGGTGCCTGAGCAGCAGTGAGTTGTATCTGAACGCCTTGCCGCACACGCACCTGTAGCGGGGGGCTGAGCTCCCCACAGGCCGGCCCGGGTCTTCTTGCAGAACCCGTGGGGAGGCGCTGCGCTCCCGAGCCCGGGGGCGGGTGAGTTTATCTGACCCGTCCTCAGGACTGCCACGTGGGTGGGGTGGTGCGGGGTGTCCCCCGGGGAGGCACCCCCACACGGTGCCCGGCAGTCCTGCCTGCCTGGGGAGCTTTCTCTGCAGAGGAGACTCCATGATCCCGGCCTCCATCCTGGAATCTGAGAGAAGGAACAGAAAACGGAAGGATGATCCAGCCTCTACACTCAAACGAACTTATTGTTGGAAGAACCTTTTTATTCCCAAGTCTTCCCCCAACACCCAGCTTTACTGAGGTATAAATGACAAATAAAACTTGTATACAGGAGGCTGACGCAGGAGAATTGCTTCAACCCGGGATACAGAGGTTATAGCGAGCTGAGATCAAGCCACAGCACTCCAGCCTGGGCCAAAGAGTGAGACTATGTCTTAAAACAAAACAAACCTTGTATATATTTTTTGTGTACAACATGATTCAATAAACATGTACACTGTGACACGATAACACAATCAGGTGAAGTCTTTGTTAGATGTGCAGGGAGGTTTGAGAAATTATTGCCAGAGGTTTTATTAATTTTTTTTTTTTTTTTTTTTTTTTTTTGAGACGGAGTCTCGCTCTGTCGCCCAGGCTGGAGTGCAGTGGCGCAATCTCGGCTCACTGCAAGCTCCGCCTCCCGGGTTCACGCCATTCTCCTACCTCAGCCTCCCCAGTAGCTGGGACTACAGGCGCCCGCCACTGCGCCCGGCTAATTTTTTTCTATTTTTTAGTAGAGACGGGGTTTCACCATGGTCTCGATCTCCTGACCTTGTGATCCGCCCGCCTCGGCCTCCCGAAGTGCTGGGATTACAGGCGTGAGCCACCGCGCCCGGCCCAGAGGTTTTAAAATCAGGGTTTCAGGCCAGGCGCGGTGGCTCACGCCTCTAATCTCAGCACTTCCGGAGGCCGAGGTGGGCTGATCACCTGAGGTCAGGAGTTCGAAACCAGCCTGGCCAACACAGTGAAACCCCATCTATACTAAAAATACGAAAATTAGCTGGGTGCGGTGGCGGGTGCCTGTAATCCCAGATACTCAGGAGGATGAGGCAGGAGAATCGTTTGAACCCAGGAGGTGGAGGTTGCAGTGAGCCAAGACCGCACCACTGCACTCCAGCCTGGGCAACAAGAGCAAAACTCCATCTCAAAAAAATAATAATAATAAAAATAAAATGAGGATTCGGGTGAGAAGGGAACAAAAAAGCTAATAATGGCTCCAGCACTGTGGGAGGCTGGCTCATGGGGAGCCCACAGGAGAAGCCCAAGGTCTGGCAGGGAAGACAGGCCAGGCATGAGGTGCAGGTTGCACCTCACTCCACAGCCACGTTCTTTACTCCTCTCTCCTTCAGAGTTCACCACAGTTCATTAACTCAGCAAACATGTCTGGGCAGGTGTGTAAAGCAGGTGCCTGCACAGACCTCCGGGACTGGGGGCCTCCTCCCCAGCTCAAGGTTCTTTCTACAGCCTCCACTGCCCTGAGCTCAGTCCCCGGCACATGGGCCATGGGGAACCGGGAAAACCAAAACAACCTGTGGGCGGCAAGCCTCCCAGGTGCCAAGGCAAGGGACCAAGGGCACAAGCTGTTCCAGTATAATAAAGAAAATACATATAATAAGAATAGTTATACTAGAAACAGATTATAAATATGATGACATATGAATATTATTAGTCATCACTTTGTAGCATTACTCTTTATTCTAACATTATAATAATCTCTGTTCTGGCCGTGCGTGGTGGCTCAAGCCTGTAATTCCAGCACTTTGGGAGGTCAAGGCGGGTGGATCACAAGGTCAGGAGATCGAGACCATCCTGGCTAACACGGTGAAACCCTGTCTCTACTAAAAATACAAAAAAAAAAAAATTAGCCGGGTGTGGTGGCAGGTGCCTGTAGTCCCAGCTACTCAGGAGGCTGAGGCAGGAGAATGGTGTGAACCCAGGAGGCAGAGCTTGCAGTGAGCCGATACCGCACCACTGCGCTCCAGCCTGGGCCACAGTGCAAGACTCCATCTCAAAAAAAAAAAAAAAAAAAAAAAAATCATCATCATCATCTCTGTTCCACAATTACAACCTAGGAAAAACCAGGCCATACAGAGATAGGAGCTGAAGGGACACGGTGAGAAGTGACCAGAAGACTAGTGTGAGCCCTCTGTCATGCCTGGACAGGGCCACTAGAGGGCTCCTTGGTCTAGCGGTTGCCCCAGTGCCTGGGAAGGCACCCGTTACTTAGCAGAGGGGAAAGGGAGTCTCCCTCTCCCCGGGCAGGGTTAGAGAAGACTCTGCTCCACCACCTCTTGTGGAAGACCTGACATCCCTCAGGCCCGCCCGCAGCCTCTGGAGGCCTCAACGTCTCCCTGTGATGCTGTGCTTCAGCAGTCATGCTCCTGTTTCACTTTCATGTTCTGCCCTGTACACCTGACTCTGCCTTCTAGATAGTAGTAGTATAATTAGTGAATGTACTAAGAGTCATTAAATTGCACAGAAGAAATAATAGTGTAAGCTGTCCTCTCTCTCTCTCCGCCTCGGCTGCCGAACAGGGAAGGGCCCCCTGCCTGGTGGACACGTGACTCACGTGACCTTATCAATCACTGGAGACGGCTCACACTCCTTACGCTGCCCCTTTTGCCTCGTATCCAATAAATAACAGCGCAGCCTGGCATCCGGGGCCACTACCGGTCTCTGCGTCTTGGTGGTAGTGGTCCCCCGGGCCCAGCTGTCTTTTCTATCTCTTTGTCTTGTGTCTTTATTTCTATGATTTCTCCCCTCCACACACGAGGAGAAAAACCCACAGACCCTGTAGGGCTGGATCCTACATCTGGCACTCCAACATGGGGCTCTCCATCTCTGTGTGAAGTTGCGCCTTGAGCGTGGGACTCAGCGGAGGATTCTGACGACAGATTCCTAAGGATTGCGGTCAATAAGCTTGGTGGTAAGCTTGAGCACTCAAAGTATTCCGGGGACACCATGGGACAGGCCAGTACTAAGTACTCAGCTTATTTAAACTTTATAAAAGCCCTCCTGTATTATCTCAACCCTGTCTCTGTTCAGCCCTGCTGTAGGGCTCTCAACCTTCTGCCTGTTTGGCCCGGTAACGAGGCCCTCAACCCTATCCCTCTACAGCCTAGTTTTCCATTTCTTCTGCCTATTTCTCTTTCCACAAATCGGGCTCCCTTGGAGCCACAGGTTCCCTTGAAGCCTGATTCTCTCTCGGAAAATCAGGCTCCCTTGGCCGGGTGCGGTGGCCCATGCCTGTAATCCCAGCACTTTGGGAGGCCAAGGCGGGTGGATCACGAGGTCAGGAGACCGAGACCATCCTGGCTAACACGGTGAAACCCCGTCTCTACTAAAAATACAAAAAAATTAGCCGGGAGTGGTGGCGGGCGCCTGTAGTCCCAGCGACTCATGAGGCTGAGGCAGGAGAATGGTGTGAACCCGGGAGGCAGAGCTTGCAGTGAGCCGAGATCGCACCACTGCACTCCAGCCTGGGCGACAGAGCAAGACTCCGTCTCAAAAAAAAAAAAAAGAAAGAAAGAAAGAAAGAAAATCAGGCTCTCTTGAAGCCTAGGTCTCTTTCGACAAATAGGGCTCCCTTGAAGAAGCCTCAGGCTCCCTTGAAGCCTGGTCCGCAGTTGCCGTGGCAGCCTGGATTTCAGGCCCACGAAAGACCTGCTCAGCAGTAATCTCGTCTCATCCTGGTTTACAGGTTCTCAACTCTCCCTCCATTCAAAATTCCAACCTCTTTTCTGCTTCTGGTCCGGTCGCTACTGCGGTTGCCACCACTACCCTTGCCGCTCACAAGCAACAAGTTACATACATTCCTCAAAATGACCCTCCTCTTATGAGGGCTATAGCACAGGCAAGAGAATGTGGGGATCCCAAAGCCTGGCAATTTCCTGTAACTTTCCAGCCTCCAATACCTGCTGTCCCTGCGGCATAAAATCAGCCACAGGCCACCGATCTTGCCCAGCAGGCAGCTGATCTCGGAGCACCTTCACGCCCCATGTTAACATCTTGTTTTTCTGCGGTACAACAAGCACACCAGCCGGTTTGGTTAATACCCACCCCGCCCCCTCAAAAATCCAGACTTCTTATCACTATTTAGGAATGCAGCTATAAGACAAGGGTATTAAGCCCCCAAAAATCATCGTTCCCCTCACCCGATTACAAGTCCAACAGGCTTTTGCAATCTGCATTGCTTGGCAAGTCCATTTGGCAGGTTTCCTGGGTACAACTGATAATCATTATCCTAATGTAAAACTATTCCAGTTCTTTAAACTCACTTCTTGGATCTTACCTCACATGACTAGAAACACCCCACTAGCCGAAGCATTCACTGTTTTTACTGATGCTTCCTGTAATGGCCGAGCAGCACATACAGGGCCAAGAGAACTGTTCGCTAGTTCAGCACAACCAGCTGAGCTGATCGCTGTCATGGCTGTCCTTGAAGATTTCCCTGAACCAGTTAACATTGTTTCTGATTGGGCCTAGGTAGTACATGTTGCTGGCAACATTGAAACTGCCTTAATCAAATTTCGGCCTGATGATACCCTACTTTTTCTCTTCCAAAGGTTTCGGTCTGTACTCAGAGCAAGGTCTTCTCCTTTCTACATTATTCACATTGGGGCCCACACACCCCTCCCTGGGCCCCTCTCGGCAGCAAATGCCTGAGCTGATACATAAGTTGCTCCCGTTTTCACTGGCGCAGAAAATTTTCATGCTTTAACTCATGTCAATGCTGCGGGACTCCAAAAAAAGTCCCCCTCACATGGAAATAAGCTAAAACCACTGCACGTCACTGTCCTACTTGCCAAGTGTTAATTTGACAGCCACTTTCCTCAGGAGTTAACCCTAGAGGACTTTCACAGAATGCTCTCTGGCAAATGGACATGACTTATCATCCTGCTTTTGGCAAGCTTTCTTTTATACATGTAACTATTGACACACTTTCTCATTTTATCTGGGCCACTTGTCACACAGGGGAGAGTACATCTCATGTTAAACGACTATGCTTTCACATTTCTCGGTTATGGGCTGTCCCAGGAAACTGAAAACTGACAACGGCCCCGGCTACACTAGTGCTGTGTTTAAAAAGCTCACTCAAACACGGGCAATTACTTACACAACTGGCATCCCCTATAACTCTCAAGCACAGGCCTTGGTGGAAGGAGCCAATAAAACGCTCAAAGATCAACTTCGAAAACAGGACACAAAAACAAAGAGGGACGCCACCACCCCTCATGCTCAGCTAAATCTGGCTCTTTTTACTCCAAACTTCTTAAACCTAGTAAGAAATCAACCTTTTACAGCAGAGAACATTTCACTGGAAATAAATTTGATCCACAAAAAGGAAAGCGGGTATGGTGGAAGGATGCAAAAACTAACAAATGGGAAGTAGGCACCGTGGTAACATGGGGCAGGGGTTTTGCTTGCGTTTCCCCAGGAGAAAGACAACAACCCGTGTGGGTTCCCTCCTGGCAACTGAAATTGCACCAAAATTTCAAATATGAAACGCTCTCAGAAACAAAAGGCAAAGACCCCTCACAAATCGAAGGGCAAGGTTCCCCGCCTGACACATAAACTTCATGACCTCTACATTACGACAAAATCTCCCGTGTGACCTACACCACCAGTCGTTCAACTCCACCAACGTGGCGTCAAATAAACATCTTATCACATCAAACACAAACATTACTACAAGAAAAAGGAATTCCAACAACGACGGGTAATATAATTCCGGCTGCCTTTATAGCGGTCAGTGCAGTGGTGAGTACGCCAGCAGTGGGACACCTGAAAAGTCTACCTATTGGGCATATGTTCCTTTTCCCCCTTTAATTCAGTCTGTCTCCTGGGTGGATGCCTCAGTGGAAGTTTCCACTCATGATAGTGCATTCATGCCGGTTCCTAATGATGACAGGTTTCCAGCTCAATCAGAAGAAGGTTTAATTTGTCAATTGGCTACAAATATCCACCACTGTGCATTGCAATGTCGCCTGGCTGTTTAGCTGCTTCTTATCAGAACTGGATGTGGACCATATTGTGCTTTAGTAATGATTCTTATTAAGTACATAATATGCTCAGTACCAATTATTTTCAATTTATGACTGTGCAACTTAATCCACGTGAGGAATGGAGGGTTCCTGTTACCACAAAAGATAATTCCACAAAAGGACTGCCAGACTGCTCCAAGGAACCTATGACAAAGGGACCGTTTTTAGTAAATTCAATTGTATGGAATGATTGTAATGCCCCAAAGGTCACGGTGTTCCAAAGTCTAGCTACGGGTGTTGTTATTGACTGGGCTCCAAGAGGGCATTCTTGGCGGAATTGCTCCGGCCAAAACATGACATGCTCGGAGTTTGTTAGACCATGTAGAGGACGAATGGCAGCCATACAGGTTTAGGGAACGGGTGTCTCCTCACCCACTGAAATGGATGCACACAGGCATCGTTCCTCCTAGACCAAAAATGATGCATCCAATTGTTACCCCAGAACATCCTGAATTATGGAAATTAGCTGCAGCCATGACAGGAATAAGGATATGGAATGCTACTTATCAACTCTCTCCTACTAATACCAAGACACCCATATTCAACATCACCTTGATGTCTGAACAGGTGATGCCTATCAAGAGCTGTGTCAAACCCCCTTATATGCTGTTGGTTGGAATGTAATTATCATTCCCAATACACACACTATAGAATGTGATAACTGTAAGCTGTTCACGTCCATTGATGCTACTTTTAATCCCACAAGTATTCTCTCGGTGAGGGCTAGGGAGGGGGTAGGCATACCAGTTTCTTTACATCGTCCACGGGAGTCTTCCCCCTCTATTCACACAGTCAATGAAGATCTTAAAGGTATCCTCAAAAGAACTAAGAGATTTATTTTTACTCTTATTGCAGTCATTGCAGGTCTAATTGCGGTTACTGCAACAGCAGCAACTGCTGGAGTTGCAATCCACAATTCTGTTCAAACCGCTCAATATGTTGAAGCATGGCAGAAAAACTTCTCTAGGCTTTGGAATTCTCAGACTCAGGTCGATCAAAAATTAGCTAATCAAATTAATGATCTCTGCCAGAGTGTAATCTGGCTGGGAGATAGGGTTATGAATTTGGAACACCATATGCAATTACAGTGTGACTGGAATACTTATGATGACTGCATAATGCCTTATGCTTATAATAAAGATCAACATAGCTGGGAAAAGGTCTTAAGGCATTTAAAAGCCTGGGATGATAACTTAACCTTAGATATTTCAAAACTTAAAGAACAAATTTTTGAGGCCTCACAGGCTCATTTAACCACTGCTCCTGGCTTAGACATTTTTGAAGGAATAACTAAAGGATTACCTAATCTTAATCCCTTTAAATGGATCACACCCCTTGGAGGATCACTGTTGTCACTGGAATTATTGACACTGGTATGCTTCTGTTGTCTATTTTTAGTCTGCAGATGCCTCCAATGAGTCCAAAGACAAGTTCGAAGTCAACGACAAGCAATGATGGCGATGGCGAGCCTAGTTAATAAAAAGAGGGGAGATGTGGGCGGCAAGTCTCCCAGGTACCAAGGCAAGAAATCAAGGGCACAAGCTGTTCCAGTATAATAAAGAAAATATATAAAGTAAGAATAGTTATACTAGAAATAGATTATAGATATGATGATTTATGAATATTATTAATCATCAGTTTGTAGCATTACTCTTTATTCTAATACAATAATCTCTGTTCCACAATCATAACCTAGGAAAAACCAGGCCATACAGAGATAGGAGCTGAAGGGACACGGTGAGAAGTGACCAGAAGACTAGTGTGAGCCCTCTGTCATGCCCAGACAGGGCCACTAGAGGGCTCCTTGGTCTAGCGGTCGCCCCAGTGCCTGGGAAGGCACCCGTTACTTAGCAGAGGGGAAAGGGAGTCTCCCTCTCCCCGGGGAGGGTTAGAGAAGACTCTGCTCCACCACCTCTTGTGGAAGGCCTGACATCAGTCATCCGGAGGCCTCAACGTCTTCCTGTGATGCTGTGCTTCAGCAGTCATGCTCCTGGTCCACTTTCATGTTCCGCCCTGTACACCTGGCTCTGTCTTCTAGATAGTAGTAGTATAATTAGTGAACGTACCAAGAGTCATTAAATTGCACAGAAGAAATAATAGAGTAAGCTGTCCTCTCTCTCTCTCCGCCTCGGCTGCCAAACAGGGAAGGGCCCCCTGCCTGGTGGACACGTGACTCACGTGACCTTATCAATCACTGGAGACGGCTCACACTCCTTACCCTGCCCCTTTTGCCTTGTATCCAATAAATAACAGCGCAGCCTGGCATCCGGGGCCGTTAACGGTCTCCACGTCTAGGTGGTAGTGGTCCCCCAGGCCCAGTTGTCTTTTCTTCTATCTCTTTTGTCTTGTGTCTTTATTTGTATGATCTCTCCCCTCCACACACGAGAAGAAAAACCCACAGACCCTGTAGGGCTGGTCCCTACACAACCCAAGGGTAGAGGTGCACAGACCCGGCCTCTGACACCTTGGGGACACCAAAATGGAAAACTGATGCACTTGGGTCTTCCTGCATAAGTTAGTTTTGACCTTAGACCTACAAGCAAGGCAGTTAGTAGGAACTCTGACCGTGTTGTGAGGAGCTAAACACACACACCTCCCACTGCGGGAGAAGGGACCTGCACAGAACTGCATGGAGGCCACACTGGCAGCACACGACACGCCCTGCGGTGGGGCCAGGCCACACTGGCAGCACACGACATGCCCTGCGGTGGCAGCAGCCCAGGCCTTCCAGTGCCTTGTACTCACCTGTGCACAGGCTGGCTTTGGCCACGCTCTGTTCAGCCACCTGCAGAATCAAGGCCCCCGGCTCCTCTCCTTGCTCCAAGAGGGAGATCAGTGCTGGTTTGGCAACAAGAAAGCCTAAGTTCAGAGAAGGAAAGCACAATGTATCAGTACAGGAGGGAGGAGGGATGCCCGGGTGCCTGGCTGGAGTGCTTGGAGTGGGTCAGGAACACTCACTATCCCAGCAGGGGCAGCTAGGTGGCCAAGGGGAGATGGGGGGGCCTGCCCCAGGAGAGAAGCCTCAGGCAGGCTGATGCTGGCAGTGGCTGCCCAACAGAAAGCAGAGAGGGGCTCCTTAGGGAGCCTCCAGTTTCCCCTCAAAAATGTTTCAGACCTTGAATCTGGAATGGAACCAACTTCCCTTTGAAGCTAACACAGACGCACCTCCCGGCCCCAGGACCAAAGGCAGAGCCCTTACCTAGGGAGGCCAGGTTCCCATAGTTCTCCAGCATCACGTCCCTGTAGAGGGCCTGCTGGTCGGGGGCCAGGCAACTCCACTCTATCCTCGTGAAGTACACAGCCACATCCTCGAACACAACAGCCTCCTGCAACCACATACTCTGCTGTCCAGGCAGTCAAGGGCTTGGTGAGAACCCAGCAGATGAGAAACATTCGTGCGATCTGCTAGAGGCCTCTCTCCCTGCTGCTCATTGCTGCATCCACAGGGCCCAGCAGAGTCAAGGCAGCCCACACTCCCCGAGTGAGCAGCCTCAGTCTCAGCAGAAGCCCCAGAGAGGAAGAGGGAAAAACTGAACTTGGGGGAGGGAGATTTACCAGGAAGGGGGTCCCAACCTTGGCGTCACCCTCTCCACAGACCATCAGGGATTTGGGGAAGGAGCACCAGCACTGTGTCCCCACCCTCTGCGTCTCCATTTCCAACACCGGCAGTGAGTCAGCATCAGTAGAGGGAGGATGGCTGACCATTCACACCAGGAAGGAGGCAGGCACTGGGGAAGGACAGGGACCCTGCCCTCAACGGCCGACCATAGAAGCTCAGGGGCCCTAGGAGGCCCCAAGAAGCCCACTTCTGCCCAAAGGCTGGAAGGATTTGGCAGAGAAATGTGTGCGGCCTGGCCACAGAGCAAGGGGGTGGTCCTCGGCTTGCAGACTCCATCTTGTGATGTGGGTGGCTGTGAGGCTCCCTGGAAGGTTCTCAGGGCTGAAAAGCTGAGGCTAGGGGCGAAGCAGTCTCCTGGGGCAGTGGACAGGCTCAGGGGGTGCTCACCTGGGGTCCAGGCATCAGGAGTGCCATCGTCATTCCAGGGTACCCTCTGAGGAGGAGCAGGTGCTAGAGACAGTGAATTCTGGGGGAACACAGAGCCATGAGTGGAAGGAGCCCAGGCCTAAGGCTCTCCAGCCCCCCAAAAGGCCTCTCCAGATCCAGAAGGGAGCAGGAGAGGGTAAAGTGCTGGGGCAATCACATCAGCCACCTCCTTCACGTCCCAAGGAGCAGCTGCACCCAAGCTTCTCCATTGGAACACCCACTCCTTCCAACGTTTGCTGGCTGTCACCTTGCTGGGAGGCCTTCTGTGACTGCCACCTCCCCTCCTGCCGGGGAGTTCCTCATCCTCGCTCCTTGCTTTATTTTTCTCCATAGCACTATGCCACCTGACATAAGACAAGTTAACGTCCTTGCTCCTTATCTGCCTTCCCCAGTTAGAAAAGACCTCTGGTCTATACCCCAAGGGCCTGAGGAAGGGCTTGGCACAGCGTATGCTCAGAAGGGATTTATGAAATGAACAAAGCATAACTAGTTAGAGCAAAATTATTGTTTTATTTGAGACAGGGTCTCACTCTGTCTCCCAGGCTGGAGTATGGTGGCATGATCTCGGTTCACCTCCACCTCTGCCTCCTGGGCTTAAGGGATCCTCCCAGGATGGCCAAGGTTGCACCATTGCACTCCGGCCTGGGCAACATTGTTCATTATGAGATGAACAATGGGTGACTCTATAACCAATAAAACCATGTGTGGGAACATCAGAAAACATTCTTGCATTTTACTACATGAAACAAGCAGACTGTAAGCAGAAAACTAAAGCTGGTAGCATAAAACCCTAGTTCTGTCTGGGTCATAGAATGACAAGTGGTTCCTGTTTTTCTATTTTTCTTTTTTTTTTTTTGAGACAGGGTCTTGCTGTGTGGCACGGGCTGGAGTAGAGTGGTATGATCTCAGCTCACTGCAGCCTCAACTTCCTGGGCTCAAGCAATCCTCCCACCTCAGCCTCCTGAGTAGCTGGAACTACAAGAGCATGCCACCACACCCAGCTAATTAAAAAAAATTTTTTTTTTTTGAGACGGAGTCTCGCTTTGTTGCCCAGGCTGGAGTGCAGTGGCGCGATCTCAGCTCACTGCAAGCTCCGCCTCCCGGGTTCACGCCATTCTCCTGCCTCAGCCTCCAAGTAGCTGGGACTACAGGTGCGCACCACCACACCCGGCTAATTTTTTGTATTTTTAGTAGAGACGGGGTTTCACCGTGTTAGCCAGGATGGTCTCGATCTCCTGACCTCGTGATCCGCCCACCTCGGCCTCCCAAAGTGCTGAGATTACAGGCATGAGCCACCGCGCCCGGCCAAAAAAAAATTTTTATTATTGATGAGGTCTCACTATGTTGCCCAGGCTGGTCTTGAATTCCTGGATCCAAGTGATCCTCTTGCCTCGGTCTCCCAAAGCGCTGGGATTACAGGTGTGAGCCACCACACCCGGTCTCTATTTTTCTAATTTAAGACTTTTTTGGCCAGACGCAGTAGAGATTGAGACCATCCTGGCTAACACGGTGAAACCCAGTCTCCACTAAAAATACAAAAAATTAGCCAGGAGTGGTGGCAGGCTCCTGTAGTCCCAGCTACTTGGGAGGCTGAGGCAGGAGAATGGCGTGAATCTGGGAGGCAGAGATTGCAGTGAGCCAAGATCGCGCCACTGCACTCCGGCCTGGGTGACGTCTCGCTCTTGTTGCTCAGGCCAGAGTGCAATGCTGCAACCTTGGTTATCCTGGGAGGATCCCTTAAGCCCAGGAGACAGAGGCTGCAGTGAACCGAGATCATGCCACCAATTCCAGGCTGGACGACGGAGCAAGACCCTGTCTCAAACAAAACAAAAGAATAATTTTGCTCTAAGCAGACGTACACAGAGCAGGCATGAGGCCCTGGTCTCCTCACTCTTCCCTTCAACACACACTTGAGCTCTTGCGTTAGGGTGAAGGTTTCCGGGGCTATTCTTTTCTGTAGAGCTGGAGCTCTAAGTAGCTGCCACTTTGTAAAGAGATGTTTCCCACTAGGCATCAGTTAACAAAAAGCGTGTGTTTAGAGGCCGGGGGCGGAGGCTCATGCCTGTAATTCCAACACTGTAGGAGGCCGATGAGGGCAGATCATTTGAAGTCAGGAGCTCGAGACCAGCCTGGCCAACATGGTGAAACCCTTATCTACTAAAAATACAAAAATTAGCCAGGTGTGCTGGCACACGCCTGTAATCCCAGCTGCTATAATCCCACCCCCACTCAGCCCCACTGACTGTCCAGGGCCGTCTGTGGCAGGACCCACCTGGGCCACTGCGATGGTCACACGTGTTGTCCTCACTCCAACAAGGCCACCAGAGCATCTCAGGGTATGAGGCTGCCAGAAGACTCGACCCCCTGATCCCTCAACACATCCCACGCTCCACTCTGGTAAGAACTGCAACCCCGGACTACGGTTGGACTTGGACTAAGAGGGTAAGTTACCACTGCGGCTTTTTGTTTGCTCATGTCTAGGGAGTGCATGTCCTCAGGGAGGGGCTACCTGGTTAGAGGGGAAAAAACCTGCTTTTAGCTCTATTTTTGGAATCAGGAAATAAACCTTCAGTCAGATTAAACAGCACTGGGCTAAAAATAATCGAGCAATGATATGATGACAACAGATCAAACTGTTGCTGCGAGCGCTGAGAGAGAATGTCAAGGGGAGGAGGGTGCTAATTTAGAAGGAGGACCACCCAGAAATGTTACTGGGGGAAGTAACATTTAACTGGGGTCTGGAAGACTAGGAGGGGGTCACCTCCCTCCTTACATAGAATAAGCCCTGTTCCTCGGGGACCTGGGGCACCCTGCTCACTACGCCGCAGCCATGCCAGCCTTCTCTCTGTTCCCCCGCCTGGGAGTTTCTCCTCAGGGATCTGTGGCTGCTTCCCTCGGTCAGCAGGTTTCAGTCCAAATGTTAACTCTTATTGTCGTTGTTGTTTTGAGACGGAGTATCCCTCTGTCGCCCAGGCTGGAGTGCAGTGGTGCGATCTTGGCTCACTACAAGCTCCGCCTCCTGGGTTCACGCCATCCTCCTGCCTCAGCCTCAGCCTCTGCGCAGGGTGAATGAAAGCTGCGGAAAACGGCGTCCGCCGGGGAGCGAGGCTGCGGGGAAGTGCCCGCCATCGGGCAGATGCTCGCGAGGGGCAGAGCCTGGTTCTCCCCGGAGCAGCCCCACCTCGCCAGGCCTCCCCGCCTGCAGCCTCATCTCTGCGCAGCCGTCGGCTCGGGGGAGCGGGTCTCTGGGGTCCGGCCGCACGCCCCCGACCACAGCCGGCATGGACCGGGGCGCAGGGCCCTTCGCCCCGAGGAGGGTTACGGACCCAAGGCGAGCGGAGGCGGCAGTGCCGGCTGCGGGTCCGCTCCTTCTCGAGCTCCGGGCGCCCACTCCGGGGGCCGCAGCCTCCACTGGGTCGGGTTTCCAGGAACGCGCCCCTCCCAGTCCCCGCCCCGCGGCCGGGGCCGACTCACCCTGGGCCGCCGGGACCGCGCGGGGAGGAGCGCAGAGCGCCGGGCGCTCAGGCTCCGGTTCCTGCCCCGCCCCCGGAAACGGCCGCTGCGCCGCTCTGGGAGGCCTGGAGGACCGCGCACCTCGATGGCGCTGGCCAGGGCCGCAGCAAGGGGCGCGCCTCGGGGGTTCCGGGCGAGACCGGGTATCAGTCCCAGGCCCCAGGGGCGCGGAAGAGCGTCGACGATCTCGGCGCTCCGTTTCCCCCAGGATAGGAGGCGGCGAACGTTCATCCCTTGCGCCCACTCCCTGCCTCCGGGTGGCCTGCGGGGTTTGGGGAGCACGGCGCGGGATCGATTCCTGGACCCGCAGGAACGGCGGAGCTGGGGCATCGGGCCGGGGTCTGTCTCTTATATAAATTTATGACATTGTTTAGTATGACTTTTTTTTTTTTTTTTTTTTTGAGTCTGAGTCTCGCTCTTGTTGCCCAGGCTGGAGTGCAGTGGCGTGATCTCGGCTCACTGCAACCTCCGCCTCCCAGGTTCACGCCATTCTGCCTCAGCCTCCCGAGTAGCTGGGACTACAGGCGCCCTCCAACCACGCCCGACTAATTTTTGTAGTTTTAGTAGAGACGGGGTTTCACTATGTTACCCAGGCTGATCTCGAACTCCTGATCTCAGGTGACCCGCTGCCTCGGCCTCCCAAAGTGCTGGGATTACAGGTGTGAGCCACCGCACCCAAACAGTTTCTGGAATCTTGAAGTGTCTCTGCTGCTCCCTCTGATCACTGTCAGACCACCTCTCCTGTCTGCACATAAGGGTGGTCATTCTGACTTCTAACAGCCCTGTGATTTTTGTAAACATTTGTATACTCTTTGTATTTACTAATTTAATCCTCACGGTAATCGTATCAAAATACTACTGTTCCCATACTAAAATGAGGAGAGCATAGTGTCCCTGTTATCTGCCAAGGTCTCGTCTCTTTTTTTTTTTCTTTTTTTGAGACAGTTTCGCTGTTGTTGCCCAGGCTGGAGTGCAATAGCGCCATCTTGGCTCACCATTACCTCCGCCTCCTGGGTTCTCCTGCCTCAGCATCGCGAGTAGCTGGGATTACAGGCATGCAGCATCTCGAGTAGCTGGGATTACAGGCATGCACCACCACGCCCGTTTAATTTTGTATTTTTAGTAAGGACGGGGTTACTCGATGTTGGTCAGGCTGGTCTCGAACTCCCGACCTCAGATGATCTGCCCGCCTCGACCTCCCAAAGTGCTGGGATTACAGGTGTGAGCCACTGTGCCTGGCCAAGGTTTCATCTCTTAAGTAACAGAACTGGGATCCAACCCACAGACCTGGCTCCAAGTCATATATTCTTTTTTTAAAAAATTTAATAATTTTTTTCAAGTCACATATTCTTTAGCCACTAAACTGTGGTGTGAAACCATCATGCAAGTGGGAAGAACAGTTCAATTCATGAAACTTGGTGTGCTGAAAAATTCCCACTCACCTCCACACACATTTTACGGATGGTTTCACACACGCTCTAGGTTTTCAGATCCCCTGAATGGCAACCGTACCCTGGGAGGAGGTATGAGGATCAAAGAAGGTAAGGGACACGTCCAGAGCCACAGGTGGTTGGGAGCCGGGTCAGATTTGAGCACAAGACAGACCAGGAACCATCATTTTCTTCCTTTTCACAAGGATAGGGGAAACTGGGTCAGGAGGGTGACACTTGTCTCAGTAGGCTCAGCCCAGCACTCTACATGGGTGGCCCTAAACTTGTGTGATTCTACCTAGATCCTTGTCCCAGGACTGGATGCCCTTAGGTTCCTCAGACTCTTTGGGGGACCAAGGGTGTCTCCTGCATTCACACTGCTGACAGCAGATCTGCTCAGGAGTGAGGCGCAGGCTGGGTAGGACAGAGGCACTCTTCAGATTCGGGGTCCAGCAGGAGGGACTGGTGGACACTTGCTCTGTCCCCACAACCATCTTTGGGGAAGGGATCATGACTCCCCTCAGGGCCATGGCACATACTTTCAGATAATATGGGTATTATGGTGAACTTGGATATCCAAAAATTCTAGGTAAATCCTGTGCTATTCTCTCATTGTAAAAGGATGCCAGAACTTCCAACTATTTAATCACACATGTGGGGTCCCAGAGAATGTTCACTCACAGCTTTATGTCAGGTTGACATGATGCATCCAAGCCATATAGACGGCGGGGGTCATGGAGATTTAGCACTCACTAACCTGTTGCTTCACAATACACTACCTTAACCCCTCTCAGAAAAATGTTAACATGCACCTTCAAGCTGTCCCCAAGCATGTGCAATCTGCATCCTCCCAACCACCCCACCTCTTCCTGTTGGCATTGGTCCCTGGGCTCTCCCCTCACCCACTCCTGAATGGGTAACACGCTCCTATGGGCAATCCCACCCCTCAGGCACTGAAAGCACATGGGAAAACTATCTCAGAGAACCTTATTGGAAATATGTTTTCACAAGACATAGCTCCAGAATTGTAAGACACTAAATTAGAAAAGCCGTGTGCATGAGGCCGGGTGCGGTGGCTTATGCCTGTAATCCCAGCACTTTGGGAGGCCAAGATGGGTGAATCATGAGATCAGGAGTTCAAGACCAGCCTGGCCAAGATGGTGAAACCCCATCTCTACTAAAAATACAAAAAATTAGCTGGACACGGTGGCAGGCGCCTGTAATCTCAGCTACTTGGGAGGCTGAGGCAGGAAAATCACTTGAACTCAAAGAGGGCAGAGGTTGCAGTGAGCTGAGATAGCGCCACTGCACTTTAGCCTGAGCGACAGAGTGAGACATCCTCTCAGAAAAAAAGCAGTGTGCATGAAAAGTACTTAGATCAGTCCCTGGCCAGTAAAAAGTACCCAGTATTGGCCAGGTGTGGTGGCTCACGCCTGTAATCCCAGCACTTTGGGAGACCAAGGCAGGTGCATCACCTAAGGTCAGGAGTTCAAGACCAGCCTGACCAATATGGTGAAACCCCATCTCTACTAAAAAAATACAAAAATTAGCTGGGCGTGGTGGTGTGCGCCTATAGTCCCAGCTATTCGGGAGGCTGAGACAGAAGAATTGCTTGAACCTGGGAGGCGGAGGTTGCAGTGAGCCCAGATCACACCATTGCACTCAAGCCTGGGCAACAAGAGTGAGACTCCATCTCAAAAAAAAAAAAAATTATATATATATATATATATATATTCCTTTTATTACGGAGTGATCCCATTTTAGCCATATGTGATGGTGTGCCCATATGTGGGATACAATTATGCTACGGGGGTGCGGTGGGGGGGCAAGGAGATAAGGACACATCAGTTGTGGGGGATTGGGGGTGCAGGCAGATAATACTGGTGGGGGAGGGGAGCCAAGCTGAGCAAGACAGAGAATCACAATTTCTCATGTTTATACCTAATTACTCCTACATGTATGTGACAAGAAACATTTGAAGAACAATTTCAAAAGGAAAATTTTTTTTTTTTGAGGCGGAGTTTTGCTCTTGTTTCCCAAGCTGGAGTGCAATGGCACAATCTCGGCTCACCACAACCTCCACCTCCTGGGTTGAAGTGATTCTCCTGCCTCAGTCTCCCGAGTAGCTGGGATTACAGGTGCCTGCCACCATGCCCAGCTAACTTTTGTATTTTTAGTATAGACGGGGTTTCTCCATGTTGATCAGGCTGGTCTTGAACTCCTGACCTCAGGTGATCCTCCCGCCTCGGTCTCCCAAGGTGCTGGGATTACAGGCATGAGCCACCACACCTGGCTGGAAATAAATAATTTCTAAGAATAAAGTTTGAAAAGCAGGTTAGGGGTGACGTCAGTAGCACAAGCAGAGGCACTGTGTGGGGAGAGCCTAATCCTGGCCCCAAGAAAGATGGCTCCACCCCAGAAGGCTGGAAAACCTCATGTCCAGTGCTTGCGGCCTCACCTGGAGTGGCTGTCAAGTGACCTAGAACTGCACAGCCACTGCTGTTTGCCAGGTCAAGACTGAGCCTAGTCATGTAGTCCTCAGGACTGTCGGGTGGATGCTGGCAGGGCCATGTCTCTTCGAGCCTTAAAGCGGCCTGGTCAGCCTCCTGGCTGCACCTAGGATCTTGGTAGCCGCATCTCATCCCAGAGACCCATGAGACCATCTTGGGGAACCCCACAGCCTGTGTGTCCAAGCCCTCTTCTCACCTCTATCCCGCACCCATCTCTCCTTCTGCTCCTGCAGAGAAGCAGATTTGCTCAGGAGTGAGGGACAGGCTGGGCCTCTGGGCCAATTTTGGGTTGATCCCAGAACCCCTCACCCTGCCCCTGGGGTCCAGTCCTGCCCCTCAGCCCCTGGCCCTGCTGTAGGCTGGGCTGCTTCCTGAGTCCCCACCCGGCAGCTCCTCCTCGATCCCCCTGCCAACCCTAGGGGAGGGCCTCCTTCAGCAGCCCCTTCTCTCCCCTATGAGCAGCAGCGGCCACAGGACACCCCTTCCACCCTCTCCTGTCTTTTTCTCACGATGTCAACCCTGCCAGAGCCCCTGCAGGGTCTAGGAAATACCCCACCTCCCAGTCCTGACTGCAAGCCTCTCCCACCCACTGGGACCCCTGCCTTCACCTCCTTGCTGCCTCCTCATCCACGGCCTCGCCTGTGCTCGACAGTGCTCACTCAGCCAGGGGCTCTCTCCTGAAAAACCTCTTCCCCACCACCCGCCGCCCCCGGCCTCGGGGTCCCACCCCTTAGGGACCCGATTCCGCGAAGCCCCTCTCCCCAGCATGTGCCGCTGGACACCCCCAGTCGGGCTGACTCTTTCCAGCTCAAGCCCCCACTGCCCCTCCCAGTTTCCATTTCTCGCTCCTTCCCCACCCACCTCTCCCGCACAGAATTTGGTCAGGGTATGGTCCAGTCTCCTATTATTCGTCCTCCCCGCAGCATGTGACCCAGCCCATCCCTGCTCCTTCTTCCTCGCCCCGGGACCCTCCAGCTTGGCCCTCCCCACTTCCTGGGCCGGCCAGCCCTCACCCTCGGCAAGGATCCCCGGGCTCCTCTCCTCGACGCCCGACCTCTCCAAGGGCCTACAGTGGACAAGGCCCCCGCGTCCAGCAGCGCCCGTCCATCAGGGAGACGTTCATCTGCCACCTGCAAACCACGACGTTCCACGAGGGGGTACACGCGTCTCCCCTGCCCATCTCCTGCTCTGCATCAGCGAGAACCCCTCCGCCTACACGGAAGCCCCTCACCAGGCAAAGCCGGGAGCCCCAGACCCCGTGGCCCGGAGTGGGTCGATCTGTGACGCCCTGCACAGTTCACTCAACCACTCGGCGCCTCCTCGACCACTCAGAGAACACTTGCCCTCCCGGAGACCCCGGTGAAAGCCGAGCACGCTTTCGCTCCTTCCGAGCCCGCGCCAGCAGGACCTAGCGCTCCGCGTCTCCCGGTGCGCCTGCGCGGGGGCCCCAGCGGCGGAAAAGTTGGCAGGGCCGGCGGCCACTGGTGACTACAAGCCCCGGCGTGCACCGCGCTGGACTGGCCGTGGCGCGTCCGGAAGGTGTCGCGGCCCTGGGCCCCGCCCCGGAAGATAAGGCGGCTCGCGGACACCGCGTTTCCTCTTTCGGCCGCGCTAGTGAGCTGGTAGGTTGTGCATTCGGCCCTGCGGCATGGGCAGTATCCGCCGACATCCTCCTCCTTGAGGCGCGCTGAGACGCGGGCCGGCCCTCCTGAGAGGATGGCGGTGCGGACGCCCGCGGAGAGGGTAGGGGGTGGTGGGCGCGGCGGTCTTGGAGGCGGGGTCCCGGAAAGCCGGGCTGGCGGGGGTGCCCGGGCCTCCCGGACGCGCTAACTGTGAGTCGCTCCCAGGACCCGTCGCCATGGGCCGTGTGATCCGTGGACAGAGGAAGGGCGCCGGATCTGTGTTTCGCGCGCACGTGAAGCACCGTAAGGGCGCTGCGCGCCTGCGCGCCGTGGATTTCGCCGAGCGGCACGGCTACATCAAGGGCATCGTGAAGGTGCGGAACGCTGGCCAGGGCGGGGCGGGAGGGGACGGGACTCCCGGCCGGAACGCCGCACTTACGCCGCCCCTGCCCGCAGGACATCATCCACGACCCGGGCCGCGGCGCGCCGCTCGCCAAGGTGGTCTTCCGGGATCCGTACCGGTTTAAGAAGCGGACGGAGCTGTTCATTGCCGCTGAGGGCATTCACACGGGACAGTTTGTGTATTGCGGCAAGAAGGGTTAGCATCGCGGCGGGGAAGGAAGGTCGGGGTGGGGAGAGGTGTGGGTGTTGTCTGAGGAGTTAACGTCTTAAACTGGTGTGGAAACCTCTGAGGCAGAAAGTTGGGGTGGGCCACCCCGTGGCCAGGCCAGTGGCTACGGTGGGCACCGGTGGGTACTCAGAGAGCTGCACCGGGAGGCTGGATGTTGAATGCTGTGCTCGCAACTTCACGGGCTGCTTAGAGCGAGTGGGGTCGCATTGCCTCTTACCGCGCTGACGGCCTGATGCTGCTTCCCCTTGCAGCCCAGCTCAACATTGGCAATGTGCTCCCTGTGGGCACCATGCCTGAGGGTACGATCGTGTGCTGCCTGGAGGAGAAGCCTGGAGACCGTGGCAAGCTGGCCCGGGCATCAGGGAACTATGCCACCGTTATCTCCCACAACCCTGAGACCAAGAAGACCCGTGTGAAGCTGCCCTCCGGCTCCAAGAAGGTTATCTCCTCAGCCAACAGAGCTGTGGTTGGTGAGTACCAGGCAGTAGTTGAATGCTGAGGGCTATTGGGTGAACAGGCTGTGAGCGTCGGCGGACAGCCAGTGGCTAGACTTGGTTCCTGGAATTACCTGTTGTTTCAAAATTTGGGTTTTGTAAGTTTGAGGTTATTCTGTAGTCTCAGTTTTTGTCACTGTAAAATGAGCACAATAGTACTTGCCTTATTGCTATTGCGGTGTTAAATGAGATTGGGATTAAGTCACTTGGGACTTGAATTCTAGTCTGGGCTTCCTGATTGCTGTACTTGCATACAGTTGGTTAACAGCCTTTTCAGATAAGGCAGGGAGAGATTTGTGACTTTCTCAAAATCACCTACTGAGTGAGTGAGGGAGGATTTGAGTCTCGGTTAACTTGCTGTGCTGTTGGGAGCATCTTGGAATCCTTGTTACGAACTCAGCCTCGCACAGGGGAGGCCCTGAGGTTGTATTCCTGGAATAAGCAATGCTGAGATGGAGCAGGCTGAATCAAGTGTCCCATGTCAGGTTGAGTGACCTGCCGGATGTCTCAAACATGGTGAGGGGGGCGCTTCCCTGCGCTTGGAGCTCAGCCAGCATTCTGGGTGATGGAGCTGAGGGCCTTGGCTTGACTGCCCAGTGTGGATTGAAGAAACTGGATGTCGGCTCACAGGGTGCAAGGGGCTCTCTAGGGTGGAGGCGAGTGTGCATTTTGCTGGGTAGTTGGATGTAGTATTGTGAAGGTGCATGACAGGAGATTGAGGGGAGGAGGTGGGGGTGCTCTGACCGACTAGAGGTTCCCTGAGGTACCTGATCTCCCTTACAGGTGTGGTGGCTGGAGGTGGCCGAATTGACAAACCCATCTTGAAGGCTGGCCGGGCCTACCACAAATATAAGGCAAAGAGGAACTGCTGGCCACGAGTACGGGGTGTGGCCATGAATGTAAGTAACGCAGAAATGCAGGATTGGGTATTCAAGGTGCGGTGGCCACACGAGTAGGCAAGTCCCATCCACAGGTGGCCCTGCAGGAGGGACATCTGCAGTGGGTGGTGGTTTGTAGTCACAGGACTGTTGATCTTGCTCCAACCCTCCTGAAGGAGGTGGGCTCACCCGCATTCTAAAGCCATCTTCCTCTGCCTACAGCCTGTGGAGCATCCTTTTGGCGGTGGCAACCACCAGCACATCGGCAAGCCCTCTACCATCCGCAGAGATGCCCCTGCTGGCCGCAAAGTGGGTCTCATTGCTGCCCGCCGGACTGGACGTCTCCGGGGAACCAAGACTGTGCAGGAGAAAGAGAACTAGTGCTAAGAGCCTCAATAAAGTTTGTCTTTATGCCACCAGGCTGTGCCCACCCCCATGGTTTCAAAGGGAGGGGTCCCTGCTGGGAGGATTTCTGTGGGATCCCCCTGGTTGGTACTGGGAGGAAGGTAGACTACTGGAGTAGACCACCAATGAGTGGTGGAAGCTTGAAGGAAAAGTCTGCAACTAGAAATGAGGTGCAGGTACCCTGGGCAAGACCCTTGCTTCCCCACAGAGGGGACCAAGACACTTAGGTGGGTGACTCAGTACCATGGCTTGCAGTGCTTGGATGTAAGCACTCATTTCACGTATGACGAAACTGAGGAACAGGAAACAGAATAGGACACAATCATGAGCCTGGTGTTCTGGACCATACCCTCACTCTGCCAGCTCACTGCTAACTTGCTCAGCACCTGAGGCGTTCCTTTGCCTGCAGTCTTTTGGCTACATCCTTCCCGTCCATACTGGGTACAGCCCTGCTGATGTCAGTGTGTTTTTGTAAAGTCACTGCCAGGGATACTGGGCTTGCAGGTGTCTGTCTTGCACTGAGAACTTGGGATGGGCCTGGAGGAACGTGGGAAAGACACCCTGTCTACAGCCGGGAAGTTATTCCTATCCTGGCCTTTACCATTCTGTTCTGCAGACGACTGGGAGCACCCTGTATGCATTCCCACCCTGCCATGGTGGGGAGTGGTCACTGACTAGAGGGTTCTGGGTGCTTTTTCCTGTGGGTGGAGCCTCATGCCTTACCTCATTTTCTAGCCTGATAGTGACAGGTGAGGTTGAGGTGGTGATTGAGTGTGGGGTCCCAGGTCACTGCTGATATTGCTGAACAAAGGGATGAATGTATGCAGTGCGTGTATGGGGATCCCAGGGCATCCAAGAGTCCCTTCACCCATCCACCCAGAGCCATATACTGCAGAGAAACTAACCAGGAACAGCCCCCAAAGCTGCATTGATTACCTTATTCTGAGCACATGGCCTTTCCCTACTGGCAGGGGCAGATACCTTCCTTCCTTCTCTATAGCTTTGGTAGTGACAAGTGAGGCTGAGGGTGGTGATTCTGAGTGGAATCAGGTTGGAAGTGTCAGGGAACCGCCCCCTGCAATGGGAGGGCAAGTAAGCTAGTTGCCCTCACAAGGCAGGTGGAGGGGCTTCCTGTTTGGCCATAGCCCATGGCATCTTGTCCCTTAACCACAACGAGGAGATGCCAGGACAGCATCCTATCAGCGCTTTCACACAAGGAAGTTCCACCAGCAAATGCAGCAACTGCAGATTATTTCCCCTAAGAACACTCCTGTGGAACTGCAGCAGGCAGAATGAGGCATGGTGTGCTCTGCCTATAGACTTGGAGAGCGCCTGGCAGGTGAGAATAGGCCACCTTAGGCTTCCATGGTCACTCTGGGATGACTCCTAAGTGGCTACACGGTGGCCCCTGACTGTCATGGTCCACGCTGTTTCTAGAGTGAACCTTACCCCCATTTCATGATCTTGCTTTCCTCATCCTGCTGGCATGGCCCCACCTGTCTTTGGGCGCCCACCACACCTAGGCAGTGACCCAGCAGGGCCTGTTTATTTTAGACAGGCTCTCGTTATTGCCAGGCTGGTCTCAAGCCCCTGGCCTCATGTGGTCCTCCCACTCCAGCCCTGACCCCCCCCCCCCCCCCAGTAGCGAGGGGACCTGGTTTAGATCCACTGTCATTCGCAAGGCTGGTCCCAGGGTCCTAGGTGATTGGTCGAGAAAGAATCCAGGAGGGCGGTGTTTCCTCCTGAAGGATGGAGGGGCATCTAGAAAGAGGCTTTTGGGAAAGCACTAGATGCTTAGCTTGGCCATAAGCGGTCACTGCTTTTCTGCTCCCTTCTGGGCAAAGTGGATGCAGGGCTTGGCCGAAGGACCGGCCATCAGGGAAAGTTTGCTCCAGAAGCAGCTCAGGCACCCGAAAACCCTTTCTCCAGAGTGGACACTGGGCACCATTTACAGGAGTCAGGGATGAGGGGCCATGGGTTAAACCCAAGACAGGCTGCTTTGGCCAGTAAGCATCCTCTCTTAGCCCCAAGGAAGGGTGCGGTTCCCGTTAGAAACTGTAAAGGAAAGGACCTAGTTCGTTCTTGTTTGTGGCACATTTCGTGGCTCATTAGGGAGAGAATTTATCAGAAAAAGGGAAAGACTAATGTTTTCGACTCTGACCATCGCCCCAGTTCTGAGGCCTCCGGGCCGTGGCTTCGGACTGCCAGCCGGTGGCAGCGTTCTGCTTTACGGCTTTGCCATTCGCGGGTCCCCGGAGCCTTACTGCGAGCCAGGAAGGTGGGCAGCCGAGACGCGGCGTCCTAGCTTCCCAGAGCGGCCCGGACGGCGCCTCGGACCCGGACAGTTGGCTGACGTCACTTCCGGATCGGCTCCGATTGGCGGGGCGGGAGGGCCGAACGGGCGAGGTTGGGCGGCCGTGCTGCTCCGCGGTGCTGAGGTGAGTGTGAGCCCGGCGGGGGCGGGCGCGCGGGGCGCAGACCTTACCCTGCGCGCTGCGCCCGTGCCCGGTTGTCTTGCGGTGCTCCAGGCCTGGGTCCGTCCCGCCATCAGCGGCACTTCCTGTTCCAGGGACCCGGGACAAGGCCTTGAGTACGGACTGCGCCTCGCCGCCCTCTCCCAGCCCCGGGGTCGCTCCTCACGGGGCTCCTTCCGCCTTCGAGCCCTTCACAGCTCCCTTGCCCCACGCTGGCCCCCCTGGACTCCTGCCGCACAGGGCGGCTTCTGCGTCCCGATGCGCTCCAGACCCCTTGGTACCAGCGGCCCGAGGCCTCATCCCGGCTCCCTCCCACGCCCCTCTCCTGTCAGCTTTTCAGGGGCGGGGTCGTGCGTCTCTCGGTCCTCCCAGCCCTCTGCGGGTGCCGCCCCTCCTGCATTTAGCGTCTGCGCTCCTCCATGCTGCTCCCTCTGCTGGTGCCTTCCCTCCACCCCACCCTCCTCGCGTGTAGCGCTCCGAGGCCTTTCTCCCCGCAGCCAGGCAGCCAGGTTTTTGTTTCCCCTTTTTCTTTTTTCTTTCTTTTCCTTCTTTTCTTTCTTTCCTTTCTCTCTTTTCCTTTTTCTGAGACGGAGCCTCGCTCTGTCGCCCAGGCTGGAGTGCAATGGCGCGATCTCGGCTCAATGCAACCTCCGTCTCCCGGGTTGAAGCAATTCTCCTGTCTCAGCCTCCAGAGTAGCTGGGATTACAGGCACTCGCCACCACGCCCGGCTAATTTTTGTGTTTTTAGTAGAGATGGGGTTTAACCATGTTGGCCAGGCTGGTCTCGAACTCCTGACTTCAAGTGATCCGCCCGCCCCAGCCTCCCAAAGTGCTGGCATTACAGGCGTGAGCCACTGCGCCCAGTCTCGTTTTCTTGTATCTCTACATACCTAATATTGTTTTTGTCTCTTAAAAATCTACATATGTATGTCTGAGTGCGGTGGCTCATGCCTGCAGTCCCAGCACTTTGGGAGACGGAGGCGGGCGGATCACGAGGTCCGGAGATCGAGACCATCCTGGCTAACGGTGAAACCCCGTCTCTACTAAAAAATACAAAAAAATTAACCGGGCGTGGTGGCGGGCGCCTGTAGTCCCAGCTACTCGGGAGGCTGAGGCAGGAGAATGGCGTGAACTGGAGAGGCAGAGCTTACAGTGAGCTGAGATCGCGCCACTGCACTCCAGCCCCGGCGATGGAGCAAGACTCCGTCTCAAAAAAAAAACAAAAACTACGTATGTATTATACTGTGGATATTCTATACCTGACAGTTTTTCTCAGCCTTATAACTGCTCTGTCTCCTTGACATTACTTTTGACCACTGTGACTTTGCCTATAGACGCTGAAGTTTTTTCTTCTTCTACACAGGCACATGGTAACATTCTTGTGTTTTTCTTGTGTGCCTTAGCAAGTCTCCATAGAGTACATACTTTTTTTTTTTTTTTTTTTTTTTTTGAGAGGGAGTCTGGCTCTGTGGCCCAGGCTAGAGTGTAGTGAGAGTACATACTTTGAGTTAGGTTTCCCCACAGAGAGTTTTGCAGGGTTTCAGTTCTACCAAGTAGGGCCAGGTGTATTTCTAGAGTCACTGTACCAGTTTACGGTGTCCTCAACATTTGATTTTATGAAGTATTTTATATTTCCCCAATCTATGGGGAGAATCTGGTTTTACTTTACTTTTTTTTTTTTTAATTAAAAAATTAGAGATGGGGGGGTCTCACTATGTTGCCCAGGCTGGAGTGCAGTGGCCACTCATAGGCGTGATCCCACTACTGATCAGCACGGGAGTTTTGACCTGCCCTGTTTCCCACCTGAGCTGGTTCACCCCTCCTTAGGCAACATGGTGGTCCCCTGCTCCCCGATGTCACCATATTGATGCCGAACCTAGTGGGGACACCCAGTTGGCATAGCACACTGCAGCCCAGAACTCCCAGGTTCAGGTGAGCCTCCTGCCTCAGCCTGCTGAGTAGCCCCTGGGACTACAGGGTTTGCCAGGTCCTATCCTGTGTTCATTTGTTCAAAATTGTGACATTTTTCTTATTAAAAAAATTTTAAAATATATTCTGTATATTTATGCTTTGTTACATGTTTGCAAATATCTTTCATTCTCTAGCTTGTCTGCTTGCCTTTTAATTTTGTGGTGTGTTGTATAGAATCCTTTTTCTTTTTTTTTTTGAGACAGGGTCTTGCTTGGGCTGGAGTGTAGTGACATAATCTTGGCTCACTGCAGCCTCCATCTCCCACTCTAAGGCGATCCTTTTACCTCAGCCACCTGAGGTTTTGCCTGGGACCACAGGCTCACACCACCACGTCGGCTAGTTTTTGTAGAGCTGCGGTTTCACCATGTTACCCAGGCTGGTTTCCTACTCCTGAGCTCAAGCAATCTGCCCACCTCCGCCTCCCAAAGCACTGAGATTACAGGTGTGAGTCACCATGCCTGGCCTTTTTTCCTTTTTAATGGAATCAAACAATCGTTTTCTTTGTAGGCTTTTATTATTTATTTACTTATTTACATTTTTATGTATTTTTTTGAGACAGAGTCTTGCTCGATCACCCAAGCTGGAGTGCAGTGGCATGGTCTTGGCTCACTGCAACCTCCACCTCCCTGGTTCAAGTGATTCTTCTGCCTCAGCCTCCCGAGTAGCTGGGATTGCAGGTGCGCGCCACCACACCTGGCTAATTTTTGTATTTTTAGTAGAGACAGGGTTTTACCATCTTGGCTAGGCTGGTCTTGAACTCCTGACCTCGTGATCCACCCACCTCAGCCTCCCAAAGTGCTGGGATTACAGGCGTGAGCCAGCACACCCGGCCTTTTTTTTTTTTTTTTTTTTTTTAATGTTTAAGTCTTTAACCTGCCCGAAATATTTGTGTACCATAGAAGGCAGGGAACTAATTTTCTTTTCCAATGGAAAACCAGTTGTGCCAATACCATTTATTGTCCTTCTTCATTGCCATTGATATTGCAGGTATATTAACATATGCATAGATGTCTTCCATTATCTTTTTTCCTATACTTAAACTTCACTTTCCATTACCATAGCCTAAGTCTCAGTATCTAGTAGGGCACACCCTTGTCTCCTTCAGTTATTTTTTTGGTATTGCCTTAGGTAATCTTTTTTTTTTTTTTTTTTTGAAACAGAGTCTTGCTCTGTCTCCCAGGCTGGAGTGCAGTGGTGTGATCTCGGCTCACTGCAAGCTCCGCCTTCGGGGTTCACGCCATTCTTGGGACTACAGGTGCATGCTACCACACGTGTCTAATTTTTTTGTATTTTTAGTAGAGACGGGGTTGCACCACGTTAGCCAGGATGGTCTCGATCTCCTGACCTGGTGATGGGCCCGCCTCAGCCTCCCAAAGTGCTGGGATTACAGGCGTGAGCCACTGTGCCCAGCCACACTGCCTTAGCTAATCTTAGATCGTTACTATTTCATGTGATATTTGGAGTCATTTCTGTCAGATATCATGTCCTGTTGAAATGCTTACTGTAATCGCACAGAATAAATTTAACTTGGGGAGAATTGATATCTTTATATTATTGAGCCCTCCTATTTAGAAACATGGTCTGTTTCTGCATAAACGTTTCTAAGGTATTTCAATAAAGTTTTATTATAATGTCCATTACATACATATCTTTTTTTAAGACTTAACGTACTGCATAGTTTTTGTAGCTATTGTGAATGGTCAGTTTTCGGTTGCTGATTGCTAACGAATAGGAGTGGCATTAATTATTCTGTATTGACCTTGTTTGTGGCAATGCTGTTGAACTCCTGTCATCCCAACAGTGGATTGATACTCTTGGATTTTCTATGTAGATTGTTTTTATCATTCTCAAAGAATGACGAGTTTGTCTTTTTTCTTCTGATCCTTGTAGCTCATATTTCTTTTTTCTGTGACTTACTGCGTTGGCTAGGATGTTGAATAGCAGCGGGCTCTGAGAGAGAACATCCCTCTCTTGTCACTGACTCTACTGCACATGCTTCTAATGTGTCCTCTTAGTGTTGTGAACACAAACTTGAATGCATGGAACCCCAGGATCCCTGAGCCACACTCTGAGAACTATTGCTACGCCTCCCGGGGTCAAGTGATCCTCTCACCTCAGCCTCCCGAGTAGCTGGGACTACAGGCATGTGCCACCAAGCCCTGCTAAGTTTTTTAATTTTTCGTAGGGATGGGGTCTCAGTATATTGCCCAGGCTGAGCTTGAACTCCTGGGCTCAAGCAGTCTTCCCGTCTTGGCTTCCCAAAGTATGGAGATTACAGGCATGAGCCAACCATACCTGGCCTTTTGCTCTTTTTTTTTTTTAATCTATTTGAAATTATTATTATTTTTTTTAACCTAGGAGCATAGATTCAAACTGCCCTAAATACACACTCTTTCCTTTTTTGTTCTTGGTAGCATTTCCTTTTCTACTTTTCCATCTATTTTCTTTTTTTTTTTTTTTTGAGGTAGGCCCTGGCTCTGACTCTGGCTCTGTCACCCCAGCTGGAGTGCAGTGGTATGATCTCGACTCACTGCAGCTTCTGCCTCCTGGGCTCAAGCGATCCTCCCACCTCAGCCTCCCAAGTAGCTGGGACTACAAGCACATGCCACCATGCCTGGCTAATTTTTGTATTTTTTGTAGAGAGGGGTTTTGCCATGTTGCACAGGCTGGTCTTGAACTCCTGGGCTCAAGAGATCCACTCACCCTGGCCTTCCAAAGTGCTGAGATTACAGGCATGAGCAACTGTGCACAGCCCCTTTTCCATCTTTTTTTGTTTCCTTTATTGGATTTGCCAGGTGTTTGTGTACTTTATTAGCATTTTCAAAGAATGACCATAGAGATTGCTTTCTGTTTCTTTAAATTGTGTTTTGTTTTCTTTCATGTTCTTTCCTTGAATTTCTTTTTTTTTTTTTTTTTTTTTTGAGACGGAGTCTCGCTCTATCGCCCAGGCTGGAGTGCAGTGGCTCAATCTCGGCTCACTGCAAGCTCCGCCTCCCGGGTTCCTGCCATTCTCCTGCCTCAGCCTCCCAAGTAGCTGGAACTACAGGCGCCGCCACCTCACCCGGCTAGTTTTTTGTATTTTTTTAGTAGAGACGGGGTTTCACCGTGTTAGCCAGGATGGTCTCGATCTCCTGACCTCGTGATCCGCCCGTCTCGGCCTCCCAAAGTGCTGGGATTACAGGCTTGAGCCACCGCGCCCGGCCCTTTCCTTGAATTTCTTTCTTTCTTTCTTTCTTTTTTTTTGAGACGGAGTCTCGCACTGGGCTCGATCTCGGCTCACTGCTACCTCCGCCACCTGAGTTCACGCAATTCTCCTGCCTCAGCCTCCCAAGTAGCTGGGATTACAGGTGCACACCACCACGCCCAGCTAATTTTTTGTATTTTTAGTAGAGATGGGGTTTCACTGTGTTGGTCAGACTGGTCTCAAACTCCTGACCTCACGATCCGCCTGCCTCAGCTTCCCAAAGTGCTGGGATTACAGGCGTGAGCCACGGCGCCCAGCCCTCCTTGAGTTACTTTCTTATTCTGCATCTGATTTCTTTTATTTTCTTTTTTTTTGTTTTTGTTTTTGTTTTTGGACAGAGTCTCACTCTGTCATCCAGACTGGAAAGTGCAGTGATGTAATCTCAACTCACTGCAACCTCCACCTCTTGGATTCAAGTGATCCTCCTGCCCCAGCCTCCCAAGTTGCTGGGAGTACAGGTTCACACCACCATTTCCGGCTAAGTTTTGTATTTATTTATTTATTTATTTTTGAGTGGAAGTCTCGCTCTGTGGCCAGGCTGGAGTGCAGTGGTGCGATCTCGGCTCACTGCAACCTCTGCCTCCCAGTTTCCAGAGATTCTCCTGCCTCAGCCTACTGAGTAGCTGGGATTATAGGTGCCTGCCACCATGCCCGGCTAGTTTTTGTATTTTTAGTAGAGACAGGGTTTCAACAAGTTGGCCAGGGTGGTCTCGATCTCTTGACCTCGTGATCCGCCCGTCTTGGCCTCCCAAAGTGCTGGGATTACAGGCGTGAGCCACTGCACCCAGCCCCAAGTTCTGTATTTTTCAGTAGAGATGGGATTTCACCATGTTGGCCAGGCTGGTCTTGAACTCCGGACCTCAAGTGATCCACCCGCCTCGGCCTCCCAAATTACTGGGATTGTAGGCATGAGCCACAGCGTGCATTTGATTTCTTGCTGAATATTTAGATTATTTATTTTAGTCTTTCCTGTTAAAATGAGTCTATTAAGGATGCGCAGTTTTCTTTAGGTAGGCTTGGTTCTGTTTCCACTTTAGTTTCCATTTCTGTATTCTTCTGGAGAGAGGGTAACTTTTCATCGTATATTTCTAATATAACAACAATATGGGTAGGAATTATTTTGCCAATGATATATTCCTTTGGGATTTGTTGAAACTTTCTCTGTTGCTCTTTTTTTGGTAATGTTCAGTATGTTGAAAAAAAAGTGTGTTCTCTATGCTTTAAGCATGAGATTCTTTACTTGACCCACTTGTTTCTGAGGGAAGCATGTTAAAAATCTTGACTGGGCACGGTGGCTCACGCCTGTAATCCCAGCACACTGGGAGGCCAAGACGGGCGGATCACGAGGTCAGGAGATCGAGGCCATCCTGGCTAACACGGTAAAACCCCGTCTCTACTAAAAATAAAAAAAAAATTAAACGCACCTGTGGTCCCAGCTACTCGGGAGGCTGAGGCAGGAGAATGGTGTGAACCCGGGAGGCAGAGCTTGCAGTGAGCCGAGATCACGCCACCGTACTCTAGCCTGGGCAACAGAGCGAGACTCCGTCTTTAAAAAAAAAAAAAAAAAACTCATTCCAGAGGAGGATTTACCAGTTCCTCTTTGATAGATCAATACCTGTTTGTAATTATTAAAGCTTTTTGGTGGACTTTTAGTAATATGCATTTTTAAAAATTCCTATTAGTGATTTTTGCTTTCTTTTGTTTTTTCTTTTTTTGGAGACAAAGTCTTGCTCTTGTCCCCCAGGCTGGAGTGCAGTGGCGCGATCTCGGCTCACTGCAACCTCCACCTCCCAGGTTCAAGCGATTCTTCTGCCTCAGCCTCCTGAGTAGCTGGGATTACAGGTGCCTGCCACTGCGCCCAGCTAATTTTTGTATTTTAGTAGAGACAAGGTTTCACCATGTTGGCCAGGCTGGTCTCCAACTCCTGGCCTCAGGTGATCCGCCTGCCCCAGCCTCCCAGAGTGCTGGGATTCCAGGCATGAGCCACCGTACATGGCCTGGCCTGTTCTTTCTTGACTGTGGTGCTGGTTCCATGGGCTTGTGCAGTTGGTGATGATCCACTGAACTGTGTACTCAGGATTTGTCAACTTTTATAATATAAATATACCTCAATAAAAAGCTTTAAAGATATAGAAAAGGTATGTAGCTACCACAGCTTTATTTTAACTAGCGTTTGATCTAATATTTACTGATATTTAGCCTTTCTGTGTTATTTTATTTTAGGCCAAATAGTTGCATCATGTGTACCTAATCCAAGAGTCTCACGCTTCTGGTAAGTGAGTCAACCTTATTTTACTTGTTTATTTTGAGACAGGATTTTGCTTTGTCGCCCAGGCTGGAGTGCAGTGGTGTGATCACAGCTCACTGCAGCCTCTACTTCCTGGGCCCAAGTGATCCTCCCACCTCAGCCTCCCAAGTAGCTGGGACTACAAGTGTGTGCCATCACAGCCGGCTAATTTTTTCTTTTCTTTGGTAGCATTGAGGTCTCCCTACGTTGCCCAGGCTTGTCTCAAATTCCTGGGCTCAAGCTATCCTCCCGCCTCAGCCTCCTAAAGCGCTAGGATTATAGATGTGAGCCACCGAGCCTGGCCCCTTCTATCATTTAAATTTTCTTCCTTAGTCCTTAACATTTTGTCTTCATTCTTCCATGTAAAGTGAATGAGTATTGTTGTTTTCCTCCTGAATGAGATAGATTAGCATGCCAGAGAGGAGGAGGGGGATAGACAGCCCAAGGGCAGCAGGTAGTAGAGGTGAGACTGGAGGCTGGGCACTTTGGTGCACTCCTGTAATCCCAGCACTTTGGGAGGCCGAGGCAAGAAGATTGTTTGAGCTCAAGAGTTCAAGACCAGCCTGGGCAACATGGCGAAACCCCATCTCTACAAAAAAATACAAAAATTAACCGGGTGTGACTGTTGGGGTGATCAGACCCAACACCAGGCTGTGGGGGCTGTGAAGTCTGGCGGAGTCAAAGGAGAAAAGACAGGTTAAGAGTACACAAGGTGGGCCCAGGGGGCCAGTGCTAGTATGGAGGCTGCGAAGGCCCTGAGCTCTGGGAGCCCACACTATTTAATGGTGATCAAACAAAGAAGCAGATGGTGAGGACGTGCATATGTGAGGGTAGACAGGTGAGGACATGAGGATGTGGGGGTAGAAAGGTAGTGGTGCATCAAGCGTGGCTATGATGGTTTAGCATTTTCTTTGATGCATATGTAATATGCTCTGCTACCTGAGATAATGGGGAACTTGTTTACTAGCCTGGGAGGCCAGTTAGCAGTACCCCCATGGGGATGGGTGGGGGTGGACCAGTGAGGCAGGCAGGGCTGTTTATGGCAGCACCAAGTAGCCTGAGCTGTGGAAGAAGGGGCCAGACTGGGCCTCCACTTGTTCTGTTCTCTTCCCTCAGCACCTGAGTGAGCAGCTCCTGTGCCCCGCCCTCAGAAAGCCCAACCCTTAGGCAATGGCGGCCTTGTTCCTGTCTGCCTCACCCCAGGTGAGTATCTGTCCTCCTGGGAGGAGTGAAATCTTTACCCAGGGCTTTCCTTGGCAAACACTGTCAGGTGTCTCTGGTTTGGGGTGCTGACATGATGGTAGGGGTGACCCTGGGACCCCCATGCAGCCCCCCACTGTGCTGGTGCCTTTAGCATGCTTCTGCTGCCTCCCTGCCCCTGCCAGCCCATTCTGGACCACACCTGGGCTATAGCAGTCGCTGTCATTCCAGGCTGAGGTGACCTTCGAGGATGTGGCTGTGTTCCTCTCTCGGGAGGAATGGGGCCGCCTGGGCCCTGCTCAGAGGGGCCTCTACAGGGACGTGATGCTGGAGACCTACGGGAACCTAGTCTCACTGGGTAAGGCCCTCACTAGAACTCAGCTCTGGGAACAGCCCTGGGTGCTAAGGGCTCAGCAGAGGCTGGGCTGGGGGCCTCACCCCCTGGGCACAGAGGTAGGTGATGACCTTTATCTCAGGTAGGCACCTGATCTGAGAAGATGAGGGGAGGGGCAGTGCTGGGACCTTCCTGAGTCAGCCCTTCCCTTCCCTCTCGCTCCAGGTCCCAGGCAGACCCCTCCCTGGTGGGACGGGGGGACCGGGGTCAGGGGTGGAGTTGCACACCTCCTAGTGGAGGGAACCCCTGAGCTCTTGTTCCCTTACGCTCAGGACTGCCCCAACCCAATCTCAGTGCCCTCCAGAGGGTGTCCAGGCTTCCATCACCCCCTCTGCTTGTGCCTCCCTTACCCTGCTGCCCCAGGGTGAGACGGCACTAAGTGCTGCCCTGTGTCCTTGGTACCAACCCCAGTCCCTGTCTCCTTCCCAGGAGTAGGACCTGCAGGCCCCAAGCCTGGAGTGATCTCGCAGTTGGAGCGAGGGGATGAGCCCTGGGTCCTGGATGTTCAGGGCACCTCTGGGAGAGAGCACCTGAAAGTCAACAGCCCAGGTGCGTGAGGGGGTCTGCTCCCCAACTCAAGTCACCGAATGAGCATTTGTTAGGGTCCAGTGTGTCTGTTTAATGAATCAGGAGTCTGCGGGGAAGATGCATTGGGGCTAGCACAGGAGGCCTGACGGTGGCCTTTGCTGAAGCCCAGGTCACCTCTCTCAGTCTGGGCACCTTGGTGGGGAGATTATTGAGCAGAATCTCTCCGGGGCAGCATTTCTGTGGAAAACAGGAATGGACAGTCCAGGCAAGGTCCCGTGTAGAGGGGAGTGAGTAGGTGCAGACCATGGGTGCTGTAAGGGGAGGTTAGGGTCTGCAGAACCCCACAGAACCCTGCCCTCCAGAGCTTATGCCAGACAATGAGGGCCTAGTGATGGAGACCTATTACTTAATTCCCCTCTCTTCTAAATTAATACACTACGGAAAAGTGAGAGAGTACACATCCTCCTGAATCTCACCGCCCAGACACAGTTGTGTTGTAGGGTATTCCTTTTCTAGCACTGGCCTTTCCACTGTTATGTATGGACACAGCCTTTATTTATTTATTTTTTTTGAGACAGGGTCGCCCTCTATCACCCAGGCTGGAGTGCAGTGGTATGATCATGGCTCACTGCAGCCTTGACCTCAAGCGATCCTCCCATCTCAGCCTCCCGAGTAACTGGGACCACAGGCATGTCATGTGCCACTCACACTAAGTTTTGATTTTTTTACAGACGAGGTTTCACTATGTTGCCCAGACTGGTCTTGAACTCCTGGGCTCAAGCGATCCTCTCACCTTGGCCTTCCAAAGTGCTGGGATTACAGGTGTGAGCCACTGCCATTGCACCTGGGCCAGACACTGCCCTTTTTTTTTTTTTTTTGAGACAGAGTCTTGCTCTGTCGCCCAGGCTGGAGTGCAGTGGCGCAATCTCGGCTCACTGCAGCCTCCACCTCCCAGTTTCAAGTGATTCTCCTGCCTCAGCCTCCTGAGTAGCTGGGACTATAGGTGCCTGCCACCACGCTTGGCTAATGTATGTATTTTTAGTAGAGACAGCATTTCACTGTGTTGCCCAGGCTGGTCTCGAACCCCTGGGCTCCAGTGATCCTTCCACCTTGGCCTCCCAAAGTGCTGGGATTGCAGGTGTGAGCCATTCTTTTTTTTTTTTTTTTTGAGACAGAGTCTTGCTCTGTTGCCCAAGCTGGAGTGCAGTAGTGCGATCTCGGCTCAGTGCAACCTCCGCCTCCTGGGTTTAAGCAATTATTCTGCCTCAGCCTCCCGAGTAGCTGGGACTACAGGTACACGCCACCACGCCTGGCTAGTTTTTGTATTTTTAGTAGAGATGGGGTTTCACCATATTGGCCAGGCTGGTCTCAAGTTCCTGACCTTGTGATCCACCTGCCTTGGCCACCCAAAGTGCTGGGATTACAGGCGTGAGCCACCATGCCTGGCTGACACTGCCTCTTAACAGGAATGATAGTGCGTTCTGCCGTGCAGACACGGAATGTGTTTCCATTTCTGTGCGCATGAGTCTCAGTCATGTCTTCACTGGAAGTGCAGGCCAAAAGATTGGATAGCTCTGCTGGTCACCTTTTTGCATGTGTCTGATGATATCCTAGGAAGGAACCACTGGCTCAAAGGACTTCTTATTTTGTAAATTTGCTTATTTGAATGTAAATATCTGTAGAAATAGGACAAACCCTAAGTTTACAACTCAGTGAATTTTTATGAAAAATCATCCTTCAGATTAAAATACAGACTGTTTCAGCTCCCCAGGAGCTCCCTGGCTCTCCTCTGTCATTTCCCACTGCTCCCCACAGGGGTCGTCTTTCTGACTCCTGTCACAAGAGGTCGCTTCCTCCTTTGGATTTTTCTGTCTAGACGCACACAGGGCATCTTTTGCTGAACGTTGTGAGAGCTGCTTGTGTTTCTTGGAGCAGCAGTGTGGTCTGTTTGGTTGCCATTGTTCTATTGTATGAACATACCACAATTTATGTTCCCTTCTACTTGTGGAGGACATTCAGTTGTCCAGGTTTGGGGTTGTACAGGACTGCTGTGGACGTTCTTGTGCATGGATCTCTCCGGTGCCCGGAATGCATTTCTGGTGCGTGTGTACCTGCGAGCAGAGCGCTGAGTCAGCGTGTTCATAGAGCCACTTTAGATAAGGTTGCCAAACCGTCCCCCACAGCAGCAGCTCCAGCACAGGCTCCTGTAGCAGTATGTGAGCACTGTCTGCTGCACATCTTGGCCGATGTTGGTGTTCATCACCTGTTCATGTGTGGTGCAGAGCCAGGCAAGGGGTGGAAGGATAGACCCCTTAGGACTAGGAAGGGAGCAGTAATCAAAGTGGCAGTCATGAGATGCTTGCACCTGGAACTCTCTGCGCTGGGCACTGGGCTGAGTTCTTCATGGTCAGTCTGTTGTATTACTCTATTTTGTTCTCATGAGTGCCATGTGGCCACAGATGGAGAAATCAAGGCTCAGAAAGGTAGGTGAGTTGTTGCCTCAGGTGACTCAGCTGGCAAGTAGGGGCCAGGACTAATCAATCCTGAGTGTGGCTGCTGGTATCATTCTCTGAGGGGCCATGTGGCAGGACCCCACTTGGGTACTTGTCACTCCCCATTCTTGGGGAGTGGCCACCCAGGAGAAGTTTGTTGTGTGAGTGTCAAATCAAAGAAGGAGTGAGTGAGGGAAGGGCCACATGACTGCGGCCCTAGGTGAGCTGCATAAGCCTCTGAGCTCCAGACTCTCATCTTTGCAAGGTTGTTGTGACTTTCGAGATGATCAAATCAGTACACCACAGGTGGCCAGCAGCATCTCATGCCTGCCTTCCAGAGTCAGAGCAGGTGACCCTTAGATGTTCTGTTTTTTGTTTCAGCTCTTGGGACCAGAACTGAGTACAAGGAGTTGACTTCACAGGAGACATTTGGTAAGGAAGAACTAGGCCAGCTGAGGGGGATTTTTCCCCAGGGATCTGAGCCGGTAGAAGCCTGTGACCACATCAGGAAGGCAGAGGGGAGCCTGGAAAAGCTGGAGCAGAGAGGCCCCAGGGCAGTCACACTGACCAACGGCGAGAGCAGCGGGGGGTCTGGGGGAAGCCTCAGGTTGGTGTCACGACCTGTTCCCGATCAGAGCCCTCACAAATGTGATATATGCGAGCAAAGTTTTGAACAGAGATCCTATCTCAACAACCATAAGCGCATACACAGGTCAAAAAAAACAAAGACAGTTCGTGACTCTGGGGAAATCTTGAGTGCAAACTTAGTTGTTAAAGAAGATCAGAAGATTCCTACTGGGAAAAAATTGCATTATTGCAGTTACTGTGGGAAAACATTCAGGTACAGTGCCAACCTTGTCAAGCATCAGCGGCTTCACAGCGAAGAGAAGCCCTACAAATGTGATGAGTGTGGGAAAGCCTTCAGCCAGAGCTGTGAGTTCATCAACCACCGAAGGATGCACTCAGGAGAGATTCCCTACCGGTGTGACGAGTGTGGTAAGACATTCACCCGGAGGCCCAACCTCATGAAGCACCAGAGGATTCACACTGGGGAGAAACCCTACAAGTGTGGTGAGTGTGGGAAACACTTTAGCGCCTACTCTTCCCTTATTTATCACCAGAGGATCCACACTGGAGAGAAACCCTATAAATGTAATGACTGTGGGAAAGCCTTCAGTGATGGCTCAATCCTTATCCGCCATCGTCGGACTCACACTGGAGAGAAGCCATTTGAGTGCAAGGAATGTGGCAAGGGCTTTACCCAAAGTTCTAACCTTATCCAACATCAGAGAATTCACACTGGAGAGAAACCCTATAAATGTAATGAATGTGAGAAAGCTTTCATTCAAAAAACCAAACTTGTGGAACATCAGAGAAGCCACACTGGAGAGAAGCCCTATGAATGCAATGACTGTGGCAAAGTTTTCAGCCAGAGCACACACCTCATCCAGCATCAGAGAATTCACACAGGAGAAAAGCCCTACAAGTGCAGCGAGTGTGGGAAGGCCTTCCACAACAGTTCCAGACTCATTCACCACCAGAGGTTGCACCACGGAGAGAAACCCTACAAATGCAGTGATTGCAAGAAAGCCTTCAGCCAGAGCACTTACTTGATTCAGCACCGGAGGATCCACACCGGGGAGAAGCCCTACAAGTGCAGTGAGTGTGGGAAGGCCTTCCGGCACAGTTCCAACATGTGTCAGCATCAGCGGATTCACCTCCGGGAGGACTTCTCCGTGTAACAGTGGAGAAGTGTCTGAGGGCAGAGTCCAGCCGAGCACTTCCTGCATGCACCCCCGGCACCTGACTCTGCCCTGTATTGATTATCCACACGATGTTTTCACAGGGTGAAAGGACATTTCTCATTAAACAAACCTCTTTTCTTAAATGAAATGCAGTGCATGTTCATTTTAGAGAAATTGAGAGAGAAAAGTGAGCGAAACGAAGCTCCTGTAATCTCCCCCACTTAGAAAAAGAATTCATTGCTGCTGATTTAGGAAAGTTTTCTTTGAGACATACTGGAGAGCATTTTAAAAAGAAAATACTGTAATGCTTGTCATTGCAGCACCTAGGATCTTCACTTTTGCTATTTCCTCAATATCAGAAAATTCACACTGAAGATAATACCACATATTTTAACATTTTTACATATTGTAAATTTAAAAACATCGGCCAGGTGTGGTGGCTCACGCCTGTAATCCCAGCATTTTGAGAGGCCAAGGTGGGTGGATCACCTGAGGTCAGGAGTCCAAGACCATCCTGGCCAACATGGTGAAACCCTGTCTCTACTAAAAATACAAAAATTAGCTGGGTGTGGTGGTGGGCGCCTGTAATCCCAGCTACTCGGGAGGCTGAGGCAGGAGAATTGCTTGAACCTGGGAGGCAGAGGTTGCAGTGAGCCGAGATTGTGCCTCTGTACTCCAGCCTGGGTGACAGAGTGAGACTCCGTCTCAAAAAATAAATGAAACAAACATATCATTCATACTTTTTATGTCAGTAGAGTTGAGGTTGCCTTTTTTATTGTGGTGAAATAACTATAACATGAAATTTACAATTTTAACCATTTTTAAGTGTACAATTCAGTGGCATTGAGTACATTCATGGTGTTGTGTAACCATCACCACTGTGTATTTCCAGAACTGTTTCATTCCAAACAAACTGTGTACCTGTTAACAATAACTCTTCATTTCCCCAACAATAACTCTTCATCCCTTTCCTGCTAGGCACTCCAAACAAACTGTGTACTCCAGTTAACAATAACTCTTCATTTCTTTCTCCCTGCTATATTCCAAACAAACTGTGTACCTGTTAACAATAACTCTTCATTTCCCCTTCTCCCTGCTATATTCCAAACAAACTGTGTACCTGTTAACAATAACTCTTCATTTCCCCTTCTCCCTGCTATATTCCAAACTGTGTACTCTAACAATAACTCTTCATTTCCCTTCTCCCTGCTATATTCCAAACAAACTGTGTACTCAGTAACAATAACTCTTCATTTCCCCTTCTCCTGCTATATTCCCAAACAAACTGTGTACCTCTTAACAATAACTTTCATTTCCCTTCTCCTGCTATATTCCAAACAAACTGTGTACCTGTTAACAATAACTCTTTCATTTCCTCCCTGCTATATTCCAAACAAACTGTGTACCTGTTAACAATAACTCTTCATTTCCCCTTCTCCCTGCTATATTCCAAACAAACTGTAAATTTATTAACAATAACTCTTCATTTCCCCTCTTCCTGCTATATTCAAACAAACTGTGTACTCATTAACAATAACTCTTCATTTCCCTTCTCCTGCTATATTCCAAACTGTGTACCCAGCACACAACTTTTCATTTCCCTTCTCCTGCTATATCTCCAAAACAAACTGTGTACCTGTTAACAATAACTCTTCATTTCCTCTCTCCCATATTCCAAACAAACTGTGTACCTATTAACAATAACTCTTCATTTCCCCTTCTCCCCAAGTTATGACTTCAAACAAACTGTGTACCTGTTATCATTAACTCTTCATTTTCCCTGCTATATTCCAAACAACTGTGTACTCCAGCAATACAACTCTTCATTTCCTTCTCCCTGCTATATTCCCAAACTGTGTACCTCTTAACAATAACTCTTCATTTCCTTCTCCCCTGCTATATTCCAAACAAACTGTGTACCTGTTAACAATAACTCTTCATTTCCCTTCTCCCTGCTATTCCAAACAAACTGTACCTGTTAATTGGGTTAACTCTTTCTATTTCCTTCTCCCCACAAGTTATATTCCAAACAAACTGTGTACCTGTTAACAATAACTCTTCATTTCCCCTTCTCCCTGCTATATTCCAACAAACTGTGTAAATTTGTATTAACAATAACTCTTCATTTCCCTTCTCCCTGCTATATTCCAAACAAACTGTGTAACTATTAACAATAACTCTTTCATTCTTCCCTGCTATATTCCAAACTGTGTACCTGTTAACAATAACTCTCATTTCCTTCTCCCTGCTATATTCCAAACAAACTGTACCACCTGTGGGCAACACACACAACTTCTTCACAGCCTGCTATATTCCAAACAAACTGTGTAATTCCATAACAATAACTTTCATTTCCCTTCTCCCTGCTATATTCCAAACAACTGTGTACCTGTTAACAATAACTCTTCATTTCCTTTCTCCCCTGCTATGTTCTCCCTAAACAAACTGTGTACCTGTTAACACAACTTTCATTTCCCTTCTCCCTGCTATATTCCAAACAAACTGTGTACCTGTTAACAATAACTCTTCATTTCCCCCTTCTCCCTGCTACTGGTAACCTCAATTCTATTTTCTGTTTCTTTGCATTTGCCTATTCTGGGAACATAAATATGTGTGGAAACATGTAATCTGTGTTACTTTCTGTCTGGCTTAGTTCATTCAGCATAACGTTTTCAAGGGGTTTCTGTGTGTTGTATCCTGTTTCAGAACTCCATTTCTTTTTTTTTTTTTTTTTTTTTTTTTGAGACTGGGTCTTATTCTCACCCAGGCTGAAGTGCAATGGCATGATCTTGGCTCTGCAACTTCACCCTCCCAGGTTCAAGCAACTCTTTCACCTTACCCTCTTGAGTAGCTGGGACCATAGGCACATGCCACCATGCCTGGCTAATTTTTATAGTTTTTGGTAGAGATGGGGTTTCACCATGTTGCTCAGGCTGGTTTCGAACTCCTGTCCTCAAGTGATCCCCACCTTGGCCTCCCAAAGTGCTGGGTTTGCAGGCATGAGCCACTGTGCCTGGCCTCGATTACTTTTATCTTTTTTAGATGGAGTCTCGCTCTGTCATCAGGCTGGAGTGCAGTGGTGCGATCTCGGCTCACTGCAACCTCCACCTTCCGGGTTCAAGCAATTCTCCTGCCTCAGCCTCCTGAGTAGCTGGGACTACAGGTACGCAGTACCCCACCCAGCTAATTTTTTATTTTTGGTAGAGATGGGGTTTCACCATGTTGGCCAGGATGGTCTCGATCTTTTGACCTCGTGATCCGCCCGGCTCAGCCTCCCAAAGTGCTGGGATTATAGGTGTGATCCACTGTGCCTGGCCTCCATTACTTTTTATAACCAAGTAATATTCCATTGTATATATATAGCACATTTTGTTTATCCATTCATTTGTTGTTGGACACTTGGGTGTTCCTACATTTTGCCTGTTGTAAGTAGTGCTAGTGTGAACATTGGTGTAAAAATGTTTTTGAATCCCTACTTGAAGTACTTTTAGCTCTATACCTAGGAGTGAAGTAGCTGAATCATACAGTAATTTAACTGTTTTGTCCTGGCATGGTGGCTCATGCCTGTAATCCCAACACTTTGGGAGGCTGAGATGGGCAGATCTCTTGAGGTCAGGAGTTGGAGAACAGCCTGGCCAACATGGTGAAACCTGTCTCTACTAAAAATAGAAAAATTAGCCAGGCGTGGTGGTGCTTGCCTGTAGTCCCAGCTACTCGGGAGGCTGAGGCAGGAGAATCGCTTGAACCTGGGAGGTGGAGGTTGCAGTGAGCCGAGATAACACCACTGCACTCCAGCCTGGGTGACAGAGTGACACTCCATCTCAAAAGAAAAAAATATATATGGTAATGATTTAACTTTCTGAGGCATGGTCAAACTGTTCTCCACAGCGGCTGTTCTGTTTTACATCCCCACCAGCAAAGCACAACGGTTCCAGTTCTGCATCCTTGCCAACTTGATATCTTCTGCCTGTTTGATAATAGGCATCTTAATGGCGTGAAGTAGTATCTCACTGTGGTTCGGGTTGCGTCTTCCTAATGTTGAGCATCTTTGTAGGTTCTTATTGACCATTTGTATATTTTCTTCGGAGATATCGCTGTTCAAATTTGCCCATTTGTATATTGTCTTCGGAGATATCGCTATTCAAGTTTGCCCATTTTTGAATTTGGCTCTTTGGTTTTTGTTGTTGAGTTTTAGGAGTTCTTTATGTATTTTAGATATGAATTCCTTATTAGATATATGATTTGCAAATATTTTCTCCCATTCTGTTGGTTGCCTTTTCTCTCTCTTGATTGTTTCCTTTGGTGCACAAACGTTTCCATTCTGATGAAGTTTAATTCACTTATTTTTTTTCTTTTGTTGCCTCTGCTTTGGGTGTCATATGCAAAAAGTCATGGCCAAGTCCCCGGTAGTGAAGCTTTTCCATTATATTTTCTTCAAAGAGTTTTTCAGTTTTTGTTTGGTTTAGTTTGGGGTTTTCTTGTTTGTTTGTTTTTGTTTTTGAGACAGAGCTTCACTCTCATTGCCCAGGCTGGAGTGCAGTGGCACAATGTCGGCTCACTGCAATCTCCGCCTCCCAGGTTCAAGTGATTCTCCTGTCTCAGCCTCCCAAGTAGCTGGAATTACAGGTGCCCACTACCAGACCTGGCTAATTTTTGTATTTTTAGTAGAGAGAGGGGGCTTTGCCGTGTTGGCCAGGCTGGTCTTGAACTCCTGACCTCAAGTGATCCACCCACCTTGGCTTTCCAAAGTGCTGGGATTACAGGTGTGAGCCACTACGCCCAGCGGTGTTTGGTTTGGCTTTGAAACAGTTGTCTAGGCTGGAATGCAGTGGCGCAATCTTGGCTCACTGCAATTTCTACCTCCTGGGTTCAAGCGATTCTTCTGCCTCAGCCTCCCGAGCAACTGGGATTACAGGTGTGCACCACCACACCCAGCTAATTTTTGTATTTTTAGTAGAGACAGGGTTTCACCATGTTGGCCAGGCTGGTCTGGAACTCCTGACCTCAAGTGGTCCACTTGCCTCAGCCTAACAAAGTGCTGGGATTATAAGCATGAGCCACCACATCCAGCCGAGTTTTTACTTCTGAGTATTACATTGCTGGGAGTGGTAGCTCACACCTGTAATCCCAGCACTTTGGGAGGCTAAG